CCCATCTGCCTTCCAAAATTTACCTCGGAACTAGTTCAGTTAAAACTCCCTCGCCAAATAAAAAGAAAAGCGGGCGGAGGCCGGGGCCGAATTTTCGGAGCCCACAGAGTAGATGGAAGGGGATGGTGGTAAACCCTAGGGATTTAGTCAACTCTATTGATTTTTAGTTGTTTGTGTGATTTAGTGATATAAGATACCTAAGTTATAGGCAACTCTATGGGAGGTTCTTTATTTGGGTTCTTGTGTGAGGCAATGAGAGACAATGTGGCAGATTATCACAACATTTGGAGTCAAACATAGTACTCTATCGATTTGAGGTTCTTAGATCGATGGAGTTGGTCTTATTACCTTGGTTTGGGTTATAAGGTCTAGGATTTCATCTTTTTTAAATAATTTCGAAGTAGTTTAATTTGTGGCATGCAAACCAAAGTAGCTACACCTACTTAGGTTCAACAAATTTTTTTTTTTTTCTTTTTAGTATTTTTTTTCTTAATGTAGGTAGGTCTCCAAGTATGTTGAACAATCGGAGATGGTCTGGGAGAATGCATGTTGGCCAACTCTATGACTCGATTGTTACTTGATTTGATTGCTTAGAGCAGTCCATGCCCTTAGGGGGATGATTGACTTGATCGGATTGAAAGATGACAAAATATCAATTGCGGAAGATTGTCGTATCTCGCATCACATTGACCTTGCTTCTAGGAGGTAAGGGATCCAATTTGACACTCCCATGCTTTCTCAAATTTTTACACATTTTTGGGGGTTTTCTAGTTTTTTTTTTGTGTGTGTGAACTTTTTTAGTCAGAAAATAGGGATTTCACCCCTCAAAGAAACCTTTGAAAGGTTTGAAGGCACTTGTATGATTTTCTATATATTCTAAAATAATCTCACAAAATTTCCCTTTTTTTCTTATCCTTTCTTTGGGAATTTCCTTAAATTTCAGCAAATTTTTATTCCTAATTTTTTTAAAACTATGTTTGAGGCTTTTTTGTAAAATTATAAGTGTAATTCATTTTGGTATTTCTGATTAATGGCTTAGCTAGTCAGTATGCCATAACATTGTATCGGGTGGATTGATCATTTGTTGTGGTTGCCATGTGCTACACTTTAGTTGTTCAAGACAAATTACAATAAAGGGGCAATACCATATGAAAAGCTATCATGTGTATAAGTAGGTGCATGCATGCTTGAAAGAAATGATTACACTCCTATTGGCTCTATCTGCTGTGTATACGCAAGTTCATGTATACATGCTCGAGGCTTTGAGACTTTATTTTTGAACTAGGCATATATAGTTCATATATGGGTGGATTTTGATGGAACCAGCAACAATGATAGATGAAGGGTTGTTGCTTGTTTAATGGAGTACCTTATGAAATAAAATAAAAAGCTAGAGGCATATGAAAAGTTGAGATTTTAAATGAACTGCATTTTCCCATATTTTTAGCAAGTTTTATCGTGTTAGGAGGATATGAGGGCACATACACATAGGCCATTCTGGAGCATGACTAGACTAGAAGTGTAGGAAGAGCTAAATGATGCACCTTTGGGGCGCCCCACAATTTATGCTGTGGAAATTCAAGATTTGTACATTAATGAATTATGCTTGTTCATTATGAAATGCAAAAATAAACGGATATCATCTCTACATAGCTTTTGCTGATTTTCTCATTTCTAGTAGGTATGTGACATTCTTCAACAAATGTCATAGTGAAACATGGCATGATTTACACCATCAGAAGTGATTAGTATTGAGCACAAGCGGAAGACTTTTCTAAGGTTATGGGGAGAAATAAAAGTGTGCAGAGCACGAGAAGATGAGAGACAAGACTTGCTTGAGAGAGAAAGTGAGAGCAGGTGCAGGTAAGGATAAGATTGTTTGAATTATTATGTGCAACGAGATGTGAGAGATGGAATCAGCAGTGGGCGGTGCATTTTGGATTTATAGAAGAGCATTCAGAAGAGATAGAAGGAACAAAGTCTGCAAGGAGATGCAGACACGTTCTAGAGCAGAGAGCGTGGGCTACTAAGGGGGGAGGGAAACGGCTTGGCTTGGAGGAGAAGGATGCAACATTGCTGGGATCAAGACCATAAAGAGGTTTAGGTGCTTTCGTGTGAGGTAGCTCGGGAGAAGGTGGGTACGACCGTACGAGATGTGTGCGGGAGAGAGACTAGTGTGGGAAATAGGGCGAGTGAGGGATTTTGAGGGAGAAGAGATTGTGGCAGATTCAAGAATGTGTGCGACGTGATCATCTTGCAGGAGGTGCTAAGGAGCTGCGTGTCTGAAGCTTGATGTGGTTTATATATATATATATATATTTCTCTCAAGTGTTTGAATTATATATATATATATATATATATAATTCAAACACTTGAGAGAAATGTTTTCAATAAGGGAATGTTTGGTTTGCTGAAAAAGGAATTTAGTGTAAATGGAATGCAATGTAAGTAAAGGGAATGTAGTGTATTTGAAGTTGTTTGGATGAGCATAAAGGTAATGCAGGTGACTTTTTTTTTTTTGCTTGAAGTAAAATGAATGCAAGGTAAAATCAAATAATGGTGGTAGTTGGCGGTGATTGATGCCAATAGCGGAGATTGTGACATCAATCATTGGTGGGCCGTGGCTATGGCAAGCGGTCGGTAGCGGTGAAACCAACTTTGTTAGCTTGCGATAAAAAAATGAATTCTGTAAAAATTAGGCAAGTTTACAATACATAAAAAATGAACTAGAGAGTGAAAATGTAATTCACTAAAATTTTGCTCTGTATTCCTTTTTTTATCAAATCAAACACCTAAAGTTTGAAATCCCCTGCATTTGAAATACTTTGTATTCATTTTTAACCAAACCAAACATTCCTTAAATGAATGATCAGATTCTGGTTTGTCCAGTTGAACTAAGAACGAGAGAGTGATTTAGTCTAATCAACTGTTAAAAAAATGATTCTCTATTAGCGTGCTGAATAAGCCATAAGTATCCAAGTTAACAAGCTAGTCAAAGAGATGCTTGCTAAACAAATTCTGATGGCGTAACTTTGACATTTAGGAACAAACCAAGTCCGACTCACACCAAACCCACTAATTTTGTCCCGTTCCATAGGCAGTTTGATTTGTTTCAGATTTTTTTTCCTGAACAAGTTCTTTCCTGTAATTCAGAGTTGTTGGTTTCGACCTTGCACCAGTCCTTTTCTAAAACTAATTGAAAATAATAATATTGGTTAAGCATAAAGCTTTAACTTTGTAAACTTTTCTGATGTGAAACAATCAAGCGATGAAATGAGAATTGCACTTAAAAATTAATAGAAATATTGAATCATAAACTTGCTACAAAAACTTTATGCTTAATCAAGTGAAGTTCAAGAATTATAAAACGAATGATTAAGTAACAACAAGAAATCACATTTAGAGATTAGAAGGCTTTTCAAAATAACATCAAAACTTCAAGTAATGCGAATAGCTAAGAATAACAAAGCCCCAAATTTAAGATTTAGATCCTTCACCTTAGGATCCGTCACTCAATTTAAAGTGGAGGCTAGCGGAAAAGGACCGTAAGTAGGCTTAGCGACGCTACTAGTAGGCAAGTGATCTTGAGGGGACTTGTCGCCGGGAAGGAGGCCGGGTTCGGAGGAGCGGGCAGATGGCTCTCGATGATCCACGTGTAGACGGAGAAGTGATCGTCGATGGAGTCCACGAGGGTTGGTAAGATCCGGTCCAAGTACTTTTCGGGGTGTCGTCAAAGTCGAATCCAACGTCGAAGAAGGGCGAATGGAGGATGTCGACTCGTCCATTGTGGTCGTATTCAAAGCCAAAATTCCATTCGGGTTCATCCATGCATGGCGGTAGTGAACGACGAAACCAAAGAGGGGAGACAAGGAGGCAAACCGTGAGCCAAGGAGACAGGCCGGTCACGGGTTGGAGAGGGGCTTGGGCGGGTGGAGCTTTGGGGGAAAGGGGAAAATAAAAATCTGAGATTTAATTAAGATTTCCGAAATTGGCAGATTCTTAATTTCAATTTCAGAATTTGAATTTGGGAATTAAGGTGATGGGAAGGTTAATGGTGTATTAAGAAAATTAAAGAGAAATAAAAGGGGTGTATGGCCGGCCATGTATGGAGGAGAGAGAGGGCAGATTTTGGTTAATAGGAGGGGACCACAATCATTAAATAAAATCTGAATTTAAGTTTCAAATTTTAATCAAATCATGTAACTCCCAATTTAGTGCCAATTGAGAGGGAATTTTGAATTTTAGCAATAATAACTCCCTTGATTAGCTCCTAAATTTAAGTCTTAATTAGGCAAGTTATTCATGATGAAATTTCAAAATAACCAGGGAATTCCACAGGAGGGGCCGGCGGCATGGGGAAGACACCGGCGGCTGAGGGTGGGCCGGAAAACTAAAAGATTACAATGCATAATGCCTCATATAAGGAGGCTCAAACTAAAAGAAAAGAAAAAGTCATAAACGCCCTCGGGGCTACATAAGTCAAACAATGCCCTCAGGGGCAAACTAGGAAAACTAAGAAAAGAATACATGACATAAGCTGTAAATAACTCAAAAGTAGAGGCTCTGGATTGTAGCCGTCGATCTGCGCCGTCGGCGATGGTACACGTGTCGAAATCTGATGTCCCCATCATTTTCTTTCCATTTTTTTTTCCATTATGGAATCGGACAATCCAAAGGATTTATGTGATAGTTGAATGTATCTAAACACTCTAGAGGTCAAACTAGCAAAGCTTTCAAGTTATATTGATGGATTCAGCATAATGTAGCCAAACATGAAGCTAAAGCTACCGATGAACAGTTTTTTTTTTCTAAATAATTTATTAGCTTATTTCTCTAAGGTTCCTTTGAAGATTCTAAATCTCAACGATCTAACCATGGTATGATGCTGTTCTTTAAATTTGATTAAATTTTCTGAATGCTGCTGATTTTTGTACATGATCTTTTCTGATGAAGTTATTGAGATATATTATGTTGATTTTATAATATTTGTGCCATTTCAGGGTTCTAGCATGGGGCAATTCTTTAAGCAATATCTGGAGCCCATTAAACTAAATGATGTTCATGTATGTGAAAAAAGTACATAGGTATTGATCTTCTAGTTGTATTTCCTTAAAATCAGGATTATTATTCTGATCTTTTATCCATGATTTATAACATGATAGGTTGACTGGAAATCAGTGGATCTGAGTTACCTGATGGAGGTAATACTTTTTAGTTATTAGTTTAGGTGGATGTATGAATTTTCTATAACTTATATGCATTGTCAGGGTGAATATCATAAGCACTTTGCAAAACTTGTGTCGGATGCCCAATCAGTCCCTGAACCTGATGTTGTTCTGAAGACAAAAAAACTAGACTATGATGTGCGGATTCACTATAAGGATCAGACAGACTTTGAAAGAATTGCACGACAATTTGGAATATTTGAAGAATGGAAGGCAAGCTCTAGTATTTCTAATTTCATTTCCATTTGTTCTCCATTAAGTTAAAAAGTTAGACCATTTCTAATAACTGTGCATTCTCTCTTTATTACTTCAGATATTATGTTAAAATGTGAAACTTAAGCTTCGTTTGTGACGGTTTTCTTTCTATTTCTTAAAACAGTTTTTTAGTACAAAAGTTAAAAATTTTGTACTCGAAAGCTGCTTTAAGAAACAGTAAAAAACAGTCCCAAATGAAACTTTAGCCTCTCTGTTATGAAGAAATTTGAAATGATTTTGTATATTATAACCTGATAAAATCTTCTTATTGTGGGTTATGTATAACCCTGTAAAATGCAAATTCCATTTGAAATCCTTAAAAATGAAAGATTTGCATGCATGTTCCCGGGGCCAACTCTTGTCACTGAAGTTGGAAATCCAATTCTCCGATTAAACTTTGGTTCTTTTTAACATATTTCAGGATGGCATACCAAGAACAGCATATAAAGGGGTTGTCGTTATCCGATACAGGTCGACCAAAAGAATTTTTTTGGTAGGACCAAATTCTCTTGCGCAACTTGGCATAGATCATGACTGAAATGTAAAACAACAAGTTGCAGTTCCTGGTGATGTTTCCGTTTTTACTGATCTCCTTCCATGGTTTCTTTTCCAATCCATTTTTTGTACTGAACCTTAAATTTTAAAGAAGAGATTAACCAACAAGTATGCTGCAGTAGCTACACTCTTTCTGATAGAAATATCGCTCAAAGCATCTCATGACGTCAAATTTTAAGGCAGGCAGACTGGAGGAGGACCTGCAAGCTTCTGCGAAAAAAATGTCCAAAAGAAACATTCAACAAAGCAAATAGATGTTCGAATTGTAGTTTAGGGTTTAGGGTGTCTTATTTATGGGAGCAGTAGATTCCTTAATTTCTTGGCTTTTGAGTTCTATCTATTTCTACTTCTAACAGTAATTCATGCTGACTTTTTATTTTAGAAATTTTGAGTCAATTAAGACAAATTCATACACACATCAGATACGTAGTCTTCTAATTCAAGATCACTTAGTTGGTAGTCAAAGCTCATAACCAATAAATCAAGATGAGCTACGGACCTTTTCAGATATTTTTACATCTGGTATGAATATGAACATGATTGTCATTTCTAATGCAGTGATTTGGCGGCGAATTCGGTTAAGGCTGCTTAAATTTGAATTCAAAGATTTTAGGATCATCTTGAGTTGGGTCCGAATTGAGTCTAAAATAATTGATTTGAGTTCATTTTTTAGTTGATTCTATCCATTGCACTATTTTTATTTTAATTTAGTAATTTTTTATAAAGTGTTTTTAATAAAATTTTCACTTGGGAGTAATAGAATAAAATAAATGAATAAATTTGGATAATATAAAATTCAGTTTGACTCTTTTCATTTACATTTTACATAGTACTGTAACGGTACATCATAAAATTCAAGAAAATATTCATCCACTCCTTTTACTCCATCAAAAAGGAAGATTTGACATTTCAGGTGCATGCAACATTACTCTCAAATGGTAAGTGTAATCTTCTTAATAGAAAGTATAATAAAAAAAATTGTCAGAAAATGTTTGATGGATTTAAATTTGTTCATGGGAGATATAAGATCTTATTAGTAGGCCGAATTTGTGATCTCGACGAGCTTGACCTATGAGAATGGGTAGAGTTGAGAGAGTAATGGAAAATTGTGTAGAATGCTCAGTAATATCGAATAGATGAGGGCGAGTGAGCTCGGGTGAGTGCTGAGATGAAAGGGGACAGGAGATTGGCGAGCATGTTGATATGGTCGGCAACTTGTTTGTAATATCTTGGATGGCCTAAGAAGCCAGAGGCAAGTGAGGTGTTCTCGTGGGAATGACGAGCTTTGAGTTCGATGGTCTCGACGAAGTAGATTGAGAGTCCCATGGTAGACATTTTTTTATTGCTGAGTCTAGTAGTCTAGTGAGGATGGTGGATCTAAAAGAGAGCAAGTGCCTGAAGCCACTATGAAGAGGAGCAAATGACTGATGTAGTGGTCTAGGTTTGTCGTGAGTGTCAGGTTGTTAGTGTCACAATCTAATCCGAAAGACCTACTGATGGGGCATATCTTATCATGTTAAACTGTGACAGACAAATCCAATATCTAGTTTTAAAAATTGTTTGAATTTTCTTCCAATATACATCTTAAAGCAACAACACGCTACAGAGCTAATAAAAATGTCCAATAAATTAAAAATAAACTCAGCCACAAAGTTTCTTTTATTTTATCATCAAAATATAATATATTATTTACACTACTTACATGGCCTCAAATAACAGAATATTGAGTAGACCATAATAAAAGCTAGGCATGACTGTACAAAAATTAAAATCGAAAAATACTTATACAGACCCAAGTCAGATTCTTGAAATTGCTACTCAATTGAATTATTCACCTTCTAAGATCCTAAAAACATGAAGCAAAATATCTGTGAGTTAAAATAGCTCAGGTGGCTATATTTCAACCTATCTAAATCCTTAAATCATGTCACTTGTTAAGCATTCATCTCTGGGTAGTGTCTTATCTACAAACCCAATCTGCCTTCTGAAAATTCCCCCGGGATCTCACACATTCCTAAAATTGGAAATTTTCGGAGCCCACATGAATAGAGAATAAAATATAGTTATTAGAAATATATGCAAAATACACAAGCACTTAATATCTTCCTCCCAACAGATAAAGTTCAATAACTATAACCCTTATGCCTCCTAACTGATAGAGTAACAGATAGAGTTCAACAACTCTGAATAAGATATAAAGTTCAATAACTTTAAAGCAGAATATACTTATATAATCAGAACAAGACTTCTTTCGGCCCTTTCAAATTTTCACAGAATCACACATATCAACTAATTAAGCATATATTTCAATGGATAATAGTAAATGATGCATAAAGAAATACATTTCAAAATTTGCAAAAATGCTATAACGGTAGGAAAAAAATCATACTAAGCAAAAATACACATTTTTAGAAAATAATCAAATTACCAGAGATATTGCAAAATGCTGTTGTAGACTTTAATTGTACTATAAAATTATCTTTAAAAGTTCGGATTATTTTTTATTCAATAAAAACAGTATAAATTCAAAAATTCAATGTATAAGATTTCTAAAAAATATTCAAAATATTTAGAATCTCAATCTCTATAACATATAAAAGTTACGCTGTAAAAGTGTTACCAGTGTAAAGTTATTGGTATTTTTCGTTAACAAAATTATAAATTTAATAAAATTTTTCAGTAAAACATCATAATTTTGAAAACTGAGATAGAAAAATGTAACCTACCTCAATCCAGACAATATTCAAAACTGGTCTTACATCGAATAACAGATTGGAGTAGCTTAAATCTCATCTTTCTCTTTAAAAATCCATCTCTTGGCCGACTCAAATAACAAACATATGAAATGGGATGGTGGAAAAAAGATATTTATAAGTGCAGAAATTGGCCTAGCGTCAGGGACCCAAAAACACAGCATCGGGATGCTCCTTAGAAAATTCCAGATTTCACAAATAAACATTTAGACTCTTGGAACTCACTTTAGGAGACATGCAAACTTTTACATACATACATATCATTTTCAAACACATGCAAAAGAGTTTAAACACAAAAATTCAATAAATTATCAAACTTCTAATTTAGTCAGATTAGTTTGAAAGATAATATAATCCTAGAGGTGTCACATGTAGCTTGGTGAGGAATCCCCGATTCTCCCCACAAAAGGTGAGCTCCAAAGTAGGCCTGGGTGATTAGCATATGCTAAGCATTATGGGATAGTTCCCCCATGAATTTGAGGCGAGTGGTTCCTCTTGAATCTTTTCCAAGTGTGCCCCCTTTGAGTGGTTCCTTCATATGCTAATCACCCTAATGATTATCATGTTGAATGTTTATCTCAACTAGAGGGGACCCTACACTTTCCAATGCTTCCAAGCTTCAATAAAATACAAATCTTTTAAATTGACTACAATGTCACTTCAATGATAATCGTGTTGATAGAAAATCTCAACCTGATGGTACCCCAAACATTTAAAATGCCACCTAAATTTTTATGAAATACAAGCATTAAAGCTGACTTCAATGTTACCCCAATGATAGCTGTATTGAATGTAAATCTCAACCGGGGGGTTCAGTTTCAAAGACCTATCAAAGATTCAAATCTCTATGTTCATCAATGATATTAATATTTAAATTTGAAATAAAATATTTAATTACTTAAAATAAAATACACATCCACCCTACACAATAATTTGCTGAGATCGACAAGTTTGAAAAATCTTCGGCTCACAAAAAGCGAATGTCCAATCGAGAATATTACAAAAATTCATTCTCAAATCATCTCTTACCGTTAAGGATATGACACATGTCCTCTAACTAGTAGTTTTGCTGTCAAATTGTACAACAGGTAAACGTTTATGATCGGGACCCTCTGACTAGGTGGTTTTGCCGTCAAATGGCACCATTAAATTACGGTCATGGTCGGAGCCTATATGTTTCCCAACAGCTTCAAATCCTTGAGTAATGAATCAATAAGATATGTTAAATATGTCCCCTTAAGAAAATATTCACCTCATGTATATGAGGTACTCTTGGATGAAGCAACCTATGGTTGATGACAAGGATCCTTTTTGCCAGGTTGGGTAGACTACCTCCTCTAACTGAGTAGGCCATGAATCATGATGACCCGGGACGACAGAATCATGGGATCTTGATCGAGTCCATCATTTCCCCCACATCCGCTTTAAGTATGTAGTGACATAAATTTCAATTTTTAAATACTAAATCCTGCTCTTACTATATGCTATTTACTATATATCTATGGATATTATGTATCTATTCAATGACTAGCCTTATTTGAAAGTTCTCTCTCTTTATCAAGAGGGACAATTAGCTATAGGGGATTATGCCTATAGGAAATCATAACTCATATCATAAAGTCCTCGCAAAATTAGGGCAAAATCTCTGGGTAATATTTTATTCAAAACATAATTTGGTTTTTGAAAATTTGCCTTAGAACATACTTGTTAAAACTCTCCTTAACAACCTGAAAAAAAGAAAGGGGTGGCGGAGAGGCCGAGGCGTGAATTTTCGGATCCCACACAAGCCAATATTTAATTTGCCTCCATTGGCTCATCACTTCAACAATTTCATACTTTTTTGAATTCAATTAACAAGAAATTTGATAGCTTGTGCATTGACAGCCCACCTCCTCCACTCCATCAAGATCATACCTTCCGCTGGCATCCTTAGTTCCATCTTTAGTTCTGCCTATCGAATCTCATCTCCACATCTGCCATCGTCTCCTACAAATTTTTCTTTTCTTTAATAAATGAAAATTGAACTTCCTTGTTTTAATGGATTCAAAGTTGAAACATGGACCTTTAAAGCATAAGAATATTTTGATTTTCACAACACCAATGATTATCATTGTGTTAAAATGACATCATCTTGAAGGACCTAGGGCCACTTGTTACCAATGATTATGCATGAAAACTCTTTCTGTTTTTTTTTTTTCATCTCTCAACCTTGAGGACAAGGTTGTTGTTCATGGCAATGGGAGTGCTAAGCAATATATATTCTTCTGAATTCCCATCACCATGAACAACAACCATGAATTATTCAGACTTGAGGACAAAGTTGTTGTTCATGGTGATTGGAGTGCTAAACTTTATAATACAACAATAAAGTTTGAATAATTCATAAAATTAATACCAATTAATAAAATACTTAAAGTCTATCACAAAAAAATGAAGCAAATCTTTCAAAGATTTGGAGCACTACAACTACCAATCAGCCACAACAACTTGCGGTTCAAAATTTATTACAGCTTTAAACTGGTCTCAAATCCATTTTTAATTCTTTTTGTTTGAACTTTTATTAAACACAAAATCGGTTCATGTAAACTATATATATATATTGATATTTTTTTTTAAATATATCTGAGCAATCAGGGTTGCATGTTATAGCCATTGTGTGAAGTAATAGTTTGATTAAATATTTAAATTTAGAAAGAGAAGCTATTTTCAAATTATTTTTTTCATCTTTGTTTTAATAGCTATTATGAAAAACTCTTCACAATAAAAATCTTCAAAAATAAAAAACAAGTTGTGATTAAATAGAAATATTGCACAGAACCCTTACTCACTTGTACAACTTGTAAATCTTGAATTTCTGCAATTTAGCATTTGTTTGATGGTGATAAAATCAACCAACAGAACAATGAAACTACTCCCTGTGGATCAGATAAGAATATAGCACTTACAATGACTAAATATCTTTGAATAAAGTTAGTATCTGATCCAAAATAAGCTGAAGATTCATGGTGGAATCAATTTGAGGTATTCCCTCATAGTCAAATATCTGAAGCAAATCCATCTGAGATTGTAGCAATGAAACTGGCATGAAATGATTCCCTTCCTCTGACCTTTTGTTGATCCTTTCAGCAATTGTTCCCACAGGCGCTACTAAGCAGACAAACTTAACCTTGCAGTGACTATACTCGCCTGCTTTGTAATCTGGATCTGCTGACCGGATGATATCTCTGTACCTCTTCTGAAGAGCAGAACAAGCAAGAACAACGGTCTCGCCGTCGACAAACTTCTTTCTGATGGCGTCTCGAAGAGCTTCGAGCCATGGAAAGCGATCTTCGTCGCAAAGTGGGATTCCTTTCAGCATCTTCTCTGTATAAAAGAAAACCAGGACTTGATGATATGTTCCAGCAGAGACAGGTTTCATAGGATGAATAGCCATTTTTGAAGTGGAGGAAAGCATGCCATTGGCATTACCTCTAGTTTATTTTTAATATATAAGTGCAACTTTAGACATTAGATGTGCATAATTGTTTCTAACTAGAGGATTTTTTTATTGAACAAGAAGTATCGCAGAAAATTCATATGTGATGAAACGAAATGCTTCAAGTAATATGTTCCATGATAAACTACAATAATTACTCAAAACTGTGTGTGGGAATTTCCCATGCAGAACATTCTTCCTTGGAAAGTTTCAGAAGTACCTTTGTTTGAATGCGAATGGAAGTCATCAGCTTCAAGAAAGCTGCAATGGAAAGACTCTGAAAGCATCTTAGCAACTGATCTGTTAATTCAATCATTCATCATATTAATGTACTGTAAACGAATTATGACTTAGAAAGTTGTGGTAAAAACAGTGCAAACATTTTGGGGACCATATGAGCCTCGAAGAGCATATATTACTTGCGTTACGTATGATACAACAACAATACTTACTGAAAGCTAAATTCAAGTTCAACTATAAACAACTTCAAAACACAGGGAAATTAAGGTCCATCATGATTATAATTATCTATAGAATTAACTGTGGAACTATTACAGGAAAATTGAGTTTTTGAAAACTATTGCAAATGTTATAATTTTTTTTCTCTAGAATAAATCAGGCAGATGACTTTGGCAATCAAATCATTAAAAAGAATACACATTTTAGATATCTCGAGTCTATTGTTCAAAATGATTGTGAAATAGATGGAGATATTTTTTGCGACTTGGAATATTCGCGGCAGTAGAGAGATATAGAGTTTAACGTCCAAGCTTTTGTACTAAGATCCAACACACAGACATATAAGAGAGAGAGGTGCAAGAGTCATAAGAGACACCATATTTTTTATGTGGTAAACCTTGAAAAGGGAGAAAATCTACGGAGTCTTTCCAATTGAAATGAATCAACTAGTATTTGTTGTTGATTACAAATGATATCATTCCTCAAAGGAAGGTGTTGACTCAATATAAATCATATAGAGCGCATTATGTAGTTGAAGCTATAGAATTCAATGACATAAAAGTTGTTCTCAATGAGTATTTATTTAGTATTTAAGTACCTTAATGATGTTTGAATTAAGCTATATTGGGCTTGTTGGATTCATCTCATCGAGCCGCTCGATTTGATTATAAGCATGCTATATTTAGATGTCATTTGATCATCTAATTAATGGTCTGAAGCTTTCCAATATGCTTTAAGCCCTTGATTTGAGCCATTTGGGCTCGGATTGGATCGATTTTGGTATTGTTGGATTCATCTTATTGAGACATTTAATTTGACTGCAAGTTTACTGAAATTGGTGTTCTGATTATTCCAATTTTAATTTTGAAAGTTGCAATCAAGATATGCCTCGAGCTTCGTGCTGGATCAAGATGATTTTTGGCGGCGTATCAATATTATTAGTAGGATTCAAGTTGATGGTTGAAATGGAGGAATCTATCAGCATGTTGAGTGATAGAAAAATTCCCCTTAAACTTTTGAAAGGGGAAAATTCTATAAGATGGTGGTGACCTGCAATGTTTTATGGAAAAACTCTATAAGATGGTGAGACCTGCAATGCTTTATGGTGCATAATGTTGGTCATTAAAAGTGAAGCATAAAATTTAAGTCAAGTGTTGGAAATAAGAGGATGCTCAGGTGGATCAGTGGCTTTATTCTTAGAGATAGAATGCGAAATGAGTATATACATGAGAAGGTTGGAATAGCTCTAGTGGCAAATAAGATTAGAGAGAGTCTCCTTAGATGACTTGCCCACATAAAATATTAGCCTTCCGATGACCCAATTAGGAGAGTATATATATTAGATCTAGCCTGTGCTAAGGAAGGTAATGTAGACTTAAAAAGACTTGGTTATAAAGTATTAGAAATGATATTTTTTTATTAGATTTAAATAAGAATTTGACTCACTCTTAATAGTACATGATGGAGAAAAAGGATTCATGTAATTGACCCCTCATAGTGGGATAAAGGCTTAATGTTGATGCTGTTCTTTTAGAAAAAGTTGGGCAGTAATTTTGTCATAGCTATCACATTTTAGCGGATATGATTATATTAATTTTCTCCTCACTACAAAAATTCTAGGAAAAATAACAAGAAAGTTGTAGCCAAATAGAAATGTGGCAGCTGTCTATAAGGTAAAATTATGAAAGAGTTAGCTAAAATGCATCAACCTTTATGCTGCTATAGTTGCCACTATGATGATGAAGAAGTTTTACAAGAAAAAGGCAACAACCTTACGACCTCTATATTTTTAATCTCTCTTATATTCAAATTCTCAAAATACTCTTATGTTCAAATTAATAAGACAACAAGAAAATATTGTATGAGATGAGTGTAGAGTGCCCCACATATCATCCCTACCAAGTACCAAAGGTATTTTCTTGTAAGTAACAATTAGGCTCTACAATTTAGCACAAACTCGCATCATCAAGCCACAAGGAAAATAATTTTAGACAAAAAGTAAAGCATGGAAGAAAAGGTTTTTTCCAGTAAATTTTGCAATGTAACTGCTCAAACGCAGAAATACCATTTATCAAAATTTACACCTAAAAATATAAAGACAATTTCAAGTTTACTGCAGCAGAGTCTACTGATAGACACCCGATCGGCGGTGAGAGACTTACGTTTTACCAGAGCCACTCACTCCCATGATCACAATAGCTCGAGCTGATAAACAAGAACATATCCACAATAAGCACACGCACAAAAAAAAAAGAAGGACAAACATAAGAAGAGGAAAAATACAGAACAGATGATGTTGGATGCATCAAAATGTAAACATTTCTAGAAACAACTCTTTAATCTTTAGACAGATAGATGACCAGAGATGCGGATTATTAAAAAAATAATAAAATCAAAATCCAGCCCATCACCCTTAAACGCTAACCCTAATTGGTGAAAAGTGAGAAGAGAGAAGACAGAAAAGAAACAAACCCATTGCAGCGGCTTCAGAGATTTGACCGAAAAGGGAGCATAGAGCACCAATGCAACGTTGAATCCGCAAAAAGCAAATATATTGAGCAATGAAGCATTCGTAAAATTCTCTCTCGTATTTGACCAAAGACAGCAAAGTTTTTCTAAAATTATAAATAATTATCAATAAATTTTTAGCTTTTTTTGGAGTTATTTGAGTACCGCACGAAAAGTATTAGAATCTGTTGCAGAAAATTTGCCTGTAATTTGATTGTCTTCAGGTTTTTGGTTACTAGCACATTCAATCCAAATAAGTATTATTGGATTGGACCCTATCCAAATTGGGTGTAATCAAAATATTATCTTATCTAACACACGCCAATATTTTATTTAAGTAAAATTGTTTGATTTATTTTAACTATTAAAGTTTGCTATAACATAAGAAAATGAAAAATAAAATATTAGATTTTTTTTTCTTTTCATTGCATATCGAATAGAAAATATGTAATTGTATCGCCCCCAGATATTTATGCTTGAAGAAATGAAATCTTCAATTATTAACGCAAGTCATCTTAATATGTAGGTTATAACTTTGACTATTAATCAAAAGATTTTAAATTCAAAAATTACATATTAATATGTGTATGAATTTATCTTTAATTGACTCAAAAGTCTAAACAAAATTCTCATTTATTATAGTGGGTAATTAGGAGCTTCTCTCCCACATGTCAATGTAGATTAAGCCTCTTTTGATTGCTGGTAGTCTCGCCGAGAGATTAGTTACTCCAACATGCGCATTCTATGATGTGACAATGGATATGAGTAATTGAATGTAGTCTCTCTCTCTCCGCCAAAAATATTATGGCAGATTGGCAATGAATCATATGAGGGCAGAGGGCTTCTGTCCCTTCGTAATTTTAGGCTTCGTTTGGGACAATTTTTTTATTGCTTCTTAAAACAGCTTTCTATACAATAATTTATTTTTTGCTCTAAAAAGCTACTTTAATAAGCAATAAAAAAATCGTCCCAAATGAAGCGTTAATATCATTTCATGTAACATAATACAATCTATTATAATTGTAAACTTTATATAAATAATCATCAAGCAAATAATCAAAATATAATTAAAATTTATTTATTTTTACTTGGGTATAAAATTCATGATGAAATGAGATCTAGAGAATATTAGCACATCAAAATTAAGACAAAATCTCCTATCAGTGAAGGTAAATTCTTGATAAACTAGGGATTCATCTATACTTTATTACTGTTATGTTACATAATTTTACTTCATTGGAAAAAAAAATAAGGTGATATATAAATTTATCCAATGCTTTGAAATCATGGAGATGCTCAGGTTTGTATCAAACCGTTCATTGCAATTGTTTTTGCTGCATTTGCTTCGCACAAATTGATATTTTTCTCGAATTAGCATCATCAAAATATAACAACATATGCACACAAAATTGGACGTTATGCTAATTACTATCAGAAATTGATAGTTACATCCATAAATATGAAAGAAAAAAATAATGATAGACAAATAGCAGTTCATTCATGTATTTTAAGGTCAAAATCGCTTCTCATACAAACAAGTATTCAGATTTCGTTTGGGACGGCTTTCTTACTGCTTCTTAAAACAGCTTTTTAGTCAAAAATTTTATTTTATTTTTTATTAAAAAACAATAAAAAAGCCATCCCAAATAAAACCTCAGTCAATAACCAGCAGCCAATAGGTTCAATCATCTTCAAATTAATCCTAATTAAGGCTTTGTTTGGGATGAATTTCTTACTGCTTCTTAAAGCAACATTATAACACAAAAATTAAGAAGCATTAAGAAATCTATCCCAAACAAAACCTAAATCTAGATCAAGATATTCATACCCAAATTCCAAATATATTCTTAACAAGCACCATGATCCATTTATTTTTGATGCAACATTCGATGTGTTCAACAGATCCCCCCTCACACAACAATGCAAATCCTGGCCTCCATACAGCCTCCTTACACCAGTAAAATGGAAATAAAACTGGAAGTCAATAAAAAAAAAAAAAGTAGAATAAAAGATAGCTTCCTCATAGATCAGCCACTAAATTGTTCCTAGTATGGGCAATAGCACAGAAAGCTTACAGGATATATATTACACCAAATTGAAATAAAGGATGGTGTCCTTAGCAAGAACCAAAAGCAGCAGTTGGAAATAAATAAGAACCCATTTTTGGGTTACCTCGTGATGAACATAATCCAGAAAGATTTCTTTGAAGAAACCATAGATTTGCCAATAAACTGAGAGTATCAGAAGTGATGTGGTAAAGCTGTTCTTTGATATTAACAGCAAAGCTGGTATGAGAGCAAATGTGATCCTTTGGGAAAGTTCGCTTCTCTTTATTTTCAGGCTTTCCTTGACCAATGCACTGGCTCGTCTGCCAATGGCAGCTCCTTCCAGAGGACTGAAGGAAATGACCCTTTTTGCATCCAGTTCATTAGGTTCAAGAGAAATCTTATTAGTGAATCCACGCTCTATCTTAACATTATCCTGCATTGTTTTGTTTACAATCAAAAACATTTAGAAGTTTCAACAATTGGGTTATAGCATATAAACCATGATCCTCCATATCACAAAATAGAAATTGTAGCTCCAACCAGACTGAAATTTGTCAACCACACAACTCTTGATGGGATAGTGCACATTGTTGGGTTGTTAAGAAGTCTCAGTAAAGCAACATATAAGAGCTTTTTTTAAGATGAAAAGATCTGAATTTTCATAGAGGTTAAGGCTTCGTTTGGGACGGCTTTCTAACAGCTATTTAAAGCGGCTTTTGAGTACAAAAATTTTAATTTTAGTACTAAAAAATTGTTTTAAGAAGCAGTAAGAAAACCGTCGCAAACGAAGCCTTAGTTTCATGTTCTAGCCACCAAACCAAATTCAAACCTCTGCTCAAGTGTAAAGCCAAAGAAAGTATGTTACATGAAGTTACCTTTAATGTTTGGTTCAAATGTTTCATTTTCAAGAAATACGAATGAAGAAGTGGAGGGAGAGTCCGGAAAATTCTCGAATCAATGCAGCTTTCTAAGGAGACAGAGAGAGGTTCCAACCATGAGGCCAGGTTCGTTTAATAGAAAACACAGTAGAACAGAGAGAGACAGTGGATGAGCAGGGGGGGGGGGGGGGGGGGGGGGGGAGAGAGAGAGAGAGAGAGAGAGAGAGGACGGTTGAAGGGGCATAAAAAAGGGAGAGTAAAATGAGGAAGAGCGGTGAGAGATGAGGGAGAGTAGTGTACATTTTTGTACCTCGGAAGACATTCTATAAAATTCACCAATATATATCTGAGAAAAGTGCGCACTTCTCACGCACAAATCTTTCGTTCAGACACTCTTCGGTCAAACACGAACAAAAGCAAATATGACATAGGCGCGTGTTGCAACATAGAAGTTGAGTACCTCAGTAGAAGGCGATTGAGAAAGCACCGGCTCAGCATTTTCTGCTTGATGTTTCATACCTCTAATCGCTGCCTCTGCAAAGGAACAGAGAGCAAAAGATTGTGTGCGTCCACCATATAGAAATTGGGAAGGTCTGCATGGAAAGATCTGTTTATAATAGATAGGTTAGTATGTAAAATAGACATGAGTGTGCGCATTTGGTTTGTTGTTAGGATGGGGAGATGCACTTAATATTTTCAAATTTAAAAGCAATCAATTAAGTGCAAACAAAAAAAGGTATAAATACAAGATTCTGCATGGAGCACAATGCTCCTTAAACAAACAAATAAATTCAAGCCAATCTTTATAACATGAGTGTGCGCACATATCCCCGTTTAAAAGAATCATCCAATTCACCATTTCTGGGTCGTGTAATTTGATAAAACTAAGGTCCAAAAATAACCACATGAGAATTTTCATTAGTTTAGGAAGCCGCCTTAAAATTTAAGAACGGCCTCATGGAAAATAGGAGTTCAATGCTGGTCGTTTTTCATAGAATTTTCTAAAAGTAATTCATGAATCTAAAGTCTTCTTCTAAGAAAATCGTTTTGGGTGGGTCATGCCGACAAACAACCTATCTAAAGAATATTGAAGTGATATGAGATGCATTATAAGTCTTACAAGAACGAGATGAAATGTGCCCCCTTAAAAATTATAACGACAACAAGGATGAGTCAAATCTTCATGGTGTTCGTGATCACTCTAAGATGAAGTCCATACTCAAGTCCACTCATAGTTTGTGCGGGATGGGTAAGGGTGTAAATAATAAAGACCATTTTTACCGTCACTTTTTCCCACTACAAGTGTGAAAGTGAGCAATAATGTGGGTAACATTGGGCCCATAGAATCTATCTTTTATTGGAAGCACCTTCAAACTACATTTCCTTAACAAAAAAATTCCCAATGAGATGAGTCAGAGATACAAAGATGGATTTTTAATCATACTACAACTGAAAGTCAAGACTAGAAATAGGGAAAGGTCAACAATTCATTGATTTGGCAAAAAACTTTTAACAATTAGGATGGTTTTCTTTTACTTTATCAAATCATGTGACTTTGACGCTCATGGATTACGATTGCACATGCATCCTACTCTGTATTCTCAACAACAATTTTGCATTTGAGGGCAAAAGTATAGTCATGAACTATACCTATTTAGCATGCCGAGCTAAGGTTCTTTTAAGAGCTAAAGTACTAGAAAATTTGTTCAATTGAAGCACAAATTCTTGAGAAAAAAGATAAGCCGCCAATATTTTATGGTCTAAACTGTCACATATAATTCACGATCATTGAGTAACCCTATTGTGCATCGTTCTATTTCTTGTTGAAGTATGCAATTTAATGACCCTCCAATAAATCCAAAGGCATCAAGGATAACTTAAACACTAAATTGAAATCATGCAATTTCTACATAGGGGAGGTAGTCAAAAGATTCTTTATTTTAATTTTAATTCACCATTCTTAAGGCAATAAGTGATAGGGGTCATGATTGGAATAAAGTCACGACTAATCTCTTGTAAGATGTGTCTAGTCCATCTAAGTTGTGGACTTAATGTACATTGGTTGGCACAAGCGAATCCTTAATGGCTTGAATATTCTCAGGATCTACAGAGAAAACTTCATTGGAGATAACTTGGCAAAGAAAATCATAAAGGAGGTCGTGAAGGAACATTATTCAAATAGACATACAATATTTCTTGACAAAAAAACATAAAAAACTTGTTGCGAGGGGTGGGTGTGGATATACCTTTTTTGATTAATGATTTGAATATCATCAAAATATATGACCAAGTATTTTCTAATAAATAGGCATAGAATATGAGTCATTCCCCGTACAAAGGTATTTGGAGTATTTGGTAGACCAAATGGCATAACTAACCACTTATAAAGAACATCTTTATCTTGAAGGTTGTTTCTATTAATTACATTTTCTCATGCATATATTCTAAATATGCTCTTGACATAGATCTGCAAGAATATAATTATTCATGCTAGTTATATTTGATGGTGATTTTATTAATGGCACGACCATCCACAAAAATATGCTATGGATCATCCTTCCTAGCTATAAGGAAGGGTTGGGGCAATGCCAGAGGCGTAAGCTCCATTTGATGAATCACTTCACTAGTTCACTCATAAGTCATCAACTTGTCAATTGAATTCGATATAATCACTGGGCTCATTCTATAATGGAGTTGACTAGGGATTGCAGATCCTAGCACAAGATTTTATTACATGTTAGACAATCCTAATCTGAGCAACTCATGAAAGAGTTGTTTATGCCTAGGATTCAAAAAATAGGTGGCTCGCTTCACAGAAAGTAACTCAAAAGCAAGTTGACTTGAAAAAGTGAAGACAATCAATGTGTATATGGCGTTGTTACTAATTTCCTACCAAAAGTAATGGTACTTGTTGACATGCAGAAACTTCCTTTAAACAAGGATAAAAGTGCCCTTTAGGATATTGAGGTGCAACTTCTTTAGGCTTAACATCATTCAATACAATCTTTTTGTCCTTAAATTTAAAAGTGCAGGTATTACAGTATTCGTTTTTTTTTTTTTAATTACAGTATTCGTAATTGGTGCATCCAAGTCATATAGTTAGGGTCTCCCTAAGAGTATGTGGGCAACTTCCGTTGGAAGAGCATCACAACAGATTATGTTTTAATAATTGGTTGGATACAATGGTACAATAAAATGTCAAGTGACAAATAAAGAGGTCATGTCAACCCAAGCTAACTTGTATGGCAAGGGGGGAGATTCAAGAGTAGTTTCATCTTAATAAGTACAAAGATAGCAATAACATTCACGTAACTACCACAATCTATGATCAACTTCTATGACTTGTAAGCATACTTGAAATAGGTGTGAAAGATAACAAAACATTTCCAATTTGCATCAACTCTCGACAATAAATAATGTACTATTATAATGTATGACATATTTAATGCTTTGTGCATCAATAGTCTCCTCACGAGTCTATCCCTAACAGATCATCTTCCTAGTCATCCATGACTCCCGAGTTTATGTGGAAACTCCTATGTAGATCATCTTCCTGATCAAGATAACTAAGTAAATGTGAGCATTATAGGTAAGAATGCAATGTCAAGTGACCTAGTTAGGTGAGAGAGGCTAAAAGGATGTGCTTGACAATCTGTGAATCGCCACTTCATAAATGGCCAAGGCAATATCTGAATAGACGCCTAAGGAACGCTTCTTAGTATGACCAATCGACCTTACCACCAAGCCTACCTCCTTGCTCAGCTTGGAAAGCTTGGCTTGACTCGAGTAAACAATGAGAACTAAATTGTTGAATACTAAACAAGACAGAAGTTAGCAAACAACATTTGGGGCATCCTTCATAATGATCCAAGTCATTTCCCATACTTCGAAGGATACATGGCATATGCATGAAAATATTAACACGTGATGTATTTAAGGGAATATATTCCTTCTTTAGCTTATGTTGGCGGTGGTGAAAGATCTTGATTTTTTTTTTTTTTAGATTTTTGGGCTCTATCCTCATGTCCAATTTTTCTCTTATTAGAAGGTTTCTCAAATTATTTTTGATAAGCATTGATATCCTCGTAAGCAGTAATTTGTGCTTCAATTGTGTGAATAAGGTCAACATAAGAATGAACAGTCTCCTGCATTAGCGAAGAGTAGAATGGTTCATGATGTAATCCTCCAAAAAAATGCCTCGCAATAACTCAAGATCCACTCCAAGAATTTGTCGAGCTTCAAAAGAAAACATTTGAAAATGAACTTTTAATGATTCTCCTGCACTTTGACGGATTCCAAAGAGATGTGAAGAACCTTTAACAATTCTTCTTTTAACGATAAATTGTTCACTAAAAAGTTTTGTCGGATGAGATAAATTATGAATTGTGTTTCTGGGAAGAGTGTACAATAACGTACGAGCCTAACGCATAGGGTAGCAAGAAACTTAAGCCGCCTCCTTCAGTTCTTCAATCCTTGTACTACAAATTTAACATCCTATAGATTCTATCTGAGCTATAAAAACACATTCCATAGGCACGTTGCCAGCATGTTTAAGCATCTGCATAAACTCAAGGCATTCCTAAGCTAATACAATCTGAAGCTTACAAAACGCACTTTAAAAAGGTGTTTTTTTTAACTATTAAACATATGCATGACCAATAAAGATGGCTTCAACTGTAAGTTAGTAATCCTTGGTAATAAAGGCATAACAATTTTTCACATCTTACCACAAAATAACAGTTTTATCATAAAAAGGTAGCACCACAACTGTCATCTATAAACATCCTTAGCTCATAGTAAAAGCTAGGTAACCTCTGGTCTTTTTTTTTCCCTACATCTTATTATTTTTAACTAAAGAACCTATCGGATATTTTACCAGGGGAAAAAAACATGGCCCAACTAAAAAAAATTCATTTCAGCAAACTCAGGCAACTATAAATCAGAGTCAAATAAATCCCTTGTCATATATTTCCTACTTCAGTACAATATCTATCATTATAAGAGGGTCTTCAAAATTGTCATTGAAACCAAATAAGCCAATACTAAATTTTATAAAAAGGTAAACAACCAAAACCTCATCAAAGCAAAAAAATCCTTTACATGACTCATATCCAATGCTGATAGGATAAGACGATAAGTAGATAAAGATGTTTTTATGCGGATCTGATGCAGTTTCTACTAAAATTTACAAAAATCCATTCCAATCATCAAATTACTAGTGTCAAGCAGAGAACGAATCGCCATAAATCCTTATTCGCCATCCAAAAGTTTACTAAGAGGAAAGTAAGGTAATTACCTTTGAAGGAATGCAGCCGACATTAAGGCAGATACCGCTAAGGGATCCCCTCTTCTCGATGCATGTAGTCTTAAGCCCTAGCTGCGCATCCTTGATAGCAGCCACGTACCCCCTCGGACCGCCGCCGATCGCCGCCACATCGTTCTCCTCCGCCGCTGCCGCAAATCCTCTCCATGCCGCCGAAAATCGAGCAAGCTCCGCCTGCCGGACCAGGAGGCTACCCACTCTTCGCCTGGCTAAACTCGCCATAGCCATTTTCTGCTTCTCCGATATGCTCTTCCCCTCTTGACCGGAATAAGGCCCGTGATGGTTATTACCTTTGCTTTATTTTCTCTTCTAATTTTGAGGTAAGTTTTATATACAAGTAAAAAAATTTAATAAGACCAATATTTTAATGTATGGGCAGTGATAAAATATAGCATGTGATGCGAATGTAAGGAATTAATACTTTTAGGTTAAACAAGAGATTGATGTGAAGATTATCTATGAGGAGAGAGAAAATTAAGAGTTGTTGTGGGCTAGAATATTCGTAAAGATAAACTTAGTGTTGCACTGATATCTAGCACACAAATAGAGAACTTAAATCACCACGATTTTTACGTAAAATTTTCTGAAAAAGGAATAAACCACGGGGTTATGCCCAGTGTAAATACTTCAATATTGTTTGAATATGTTACAAAGATTGACTCGTCCCTAAACTTGTGGACGGTCAAATTATAGTAGTCCATGAACTTCGGTTGAACTTCGTGTGAATATTTGTGAGTTTAAAATGATGAAGGCAGGGCAGAAGTCTGATGGGGTAGAGCGAAAGTTCAACAGTTGTCGAGCATAAGTCTTGTGTCGTTCAGTGGCCAGGCTAAAGTCTGGCGACAGTTAGTGGTCGGGCGAAAGTCCGACTACGGTAGATAGCAGGATGAAAATTCGATGATAGTCGATGGCAGAGCGGTGGTCGAGGAGCCTAGTGGCGAGAGAGTAACACTATTGTGCATCGTTGTATTTCTTTTTTAATTGGATGGTAATTAAATTATCATTTATGTAAAATTTATATGTTTTATTTATTTGTATGGAAAGAGAACTAATGATTTTTTTAATCGATGGTATGTGAACTTAGAAACATATTTTGTATGCTTTAATTGAACTCATCACATCATTTAATTGCATTGGATAACTCTACATCATAAAATTTTCAAAATCATTAAGGCCATGTTGTTAATATGAAGAGGTGCATTAATTTTATTTGCTTGTCTAACATATTTGTTTTTTGCCTTCTATATGTCCAAATCATCTAAAACTATTTTTAATTATCTTATTCCTTCTAATTGTTCCTATGATATTATCATTTTTTTTGCTGATATAATCATTTTTTTATTTTATTATTCTTGATTTTACCACATATCCATCTTTTTATTTTCATTTATACTACACTTAACTTAAAAACGAACTATTTATTTTACAACATAATACTTTGATTCATCTAACATGGCACATGGCAATGCCTAATTGTTGTTCTATAAAATTTCTATAAAATTTAAAATTTTACTTTTAATTATCCAAGTAATCCTCTTATCATATAATGCTCATGAGATGCTTCTTCATAACCATCCCACCTCAACTATAAAAATTATATCCTAATTAATGCATTTTTATTGTTTTATATAATAGATCCAAGATACTTGATACATTATTAAAAATTGTTTTGATCAAGCATGAATCTTGATGCATATATGAATTGTAAACTTTCAAAATTAAAATTGGGACTATTGAAACTCCAATTTCAACATACTTATACTCAAATTGAACGTCTTAGAGAGAAGAACCCAATGATACTTAAATCGGTCCAACTCAAGCCCAAATGGGCTCAAATGAAGTGATTGAAGCATATTGGGAAGCTTCAAAGCATTAATTGAATAATCAAATGATCTCCAAATATGACATGTTTATGGTCCAATTGAGCGGCTCGACGAGATGAATCCAGTGAGCCCAAGACCGCTTATAGATGACATTATTAAAACACTTAAATGCTGAATTAATGCTTCGTGATTAAGGGAATTAGTATGGACCGTCCGATGTAGCTCTAAAATTGCTCAAGATCTCAATATTTATGAAGCATGTCATGTGACGCATCGAGAATCTAATTAAGAATTATTATTATTATTATTATTATTATTGAAACGTCTTGCAAAAATTATCTTGATCGGGCACGAATCTCGAGGCAAAAATCAAGTTGGAAACTTCAAAAATTAAATCAGAGAGCATATGAACTTCGATTTCAGCAAACTTATAGTCAAACTGAGCGTCTCGAAAATACGAACCCGACGACATCAAATTCAACTCAATCCGAGCCCAAATCAAGCACCCGAAGTGCTATTGGAAAGCTCGTACCACAAATTGAGTTACCAAACGGTCTTCGATTTTAACGAACTTATAGTCGAATCGAGCGGATCGACGAAACGAATCCAACGAACCCAAGATCGCCAAATTTTGACATCACTAAGGCCTTCAAAAATCCAACGAACGGTGCACGATCGAATGATTCAATATCAGCCGTCCATTCGACCACTCCCTATTTGCCCCTGATCTCATGCCTATTTACGAGCTATGCCACTCCAGAAAAACTATAAATAGAGCTCTCATTCTTCATAAGAGGGGACCGAAGCAAGAAAAAGAAGGGAAGAAGAAGGGAAGGAGAAGGAGAAGGAGAATCAGCTCCTCCTCGACCACCGTCGGAGTTCTTCCCGCCGCCTGAACAAAGCCGGAATTCTACCGGATTTTCGGGAGACTCAGGAACTTTGCACAACTTTGTAACTAAATTTTAACTCAGGAGAAACTCATTGTAATCTGATCGTCCTAACTTGTGGGACGAATCAGTCTTTTGTATCTCAAACGACACTAGTGGAACTTTTCAACTCGGTGTGGCCCCGTGGTTTTTCCCCTTTTCAGGGTTTTACACGTAAAATTTTTGGTGTTCTTTTATCTTCTGTTTGTATGTGCTGAATATTCGTACAACGCTCGGACGTAACAAACTCTACCGCGGCGTATATTCTAGCCCGCAACAATTATTATTTTAATAACACATCAAAGCTATCTAAAACATCAAAATATGCGCATGTACTCACATTAATAAAAAATAATATATACTGTTTATGATTTATACAATCATATCATAACTACTTTGTCATGAGTACAAAAAAAAATGGATAAAAAAGAAACATAACCTGAAGAATCATGACTAGCCTCAAACTCATGATCATCTGCCATGAATTGGAATCATTTTATCACATATAATGAGCTAAAAAGCCCAACAATAAAATCAAAATCTAAAACTAAACTCAAAGCACGGTAGAAAACCAATATGCATGTCAGAAATTGATGTAAGCAAATTAAAGCAAATACAAAGAGAGAACAACAAAGATAATCAAATCTTATTTTTATAAAATTAAGACATAACTTAGAGAACAAAATATATTAGAGAAAACAACTAACTTCAGAAAAAGAAAAGAGGCAACTTCTAACGACTAAAACAAAAGAAGACCAGCAAAGAAACAATATTTTTTTTTAAAAAAAAAAACTATCCTCAGAACATCCTTCAAGAGGACTCCTCACATGTACCGATTGTAGGAATATAATTTAAAATAAGGTTTAGATATGCAAACCAAGGGTCCACCACAAATCGTCCACAACTTCACCAAACAGCCAACAACCTCGCTAAAACAGCCAACAAAAACAGCCAACAACTTCACCAAAAGAACTAGAAGAAAGATACAGGTGGAGTGGAACTTGCGTAGAGAAGAAGGAGGTTAGAAGACCGAGAAGAAAGAGGAGAAGCTCGCAAGCTTTCTTAGGGGAGAAGGAGAATGGAAAAAGCTCTCAAGCTCTTCCAAAGAAGAAAACCCTCAGGTTTTTTAAAGCACTTAGCTCTCAAAATATTCAACCAACGCTTCTATGATAAAGCATTTCATATTTATAAGCAAAAAAGAAAGCCCAACAGCCAATGCACCCATAATTCCCCCAATAAACTTTAGGGATAGGAAAAGCCAAAAGGCACACATCAGTTCCAAAGCAGCAGCCAGCAACTTTCCAGAAAACAGAGAAGAATCAGATCACGGGACCAACAGCCAGCCACGGAACAGCCAGAATTAACGGGAAAAGCACCGAAACATTAAAGGAACACCAGGTCCAAGGAATCCAGAAAACGAACAGGCACCCCAAGCAGCCACGACTGCCTAAATTCCAGCCAATTTCTCTCCCAATGCCACAAGACACATCTCTCCAAACAGCCATGAAAGGAAGAGAAAAAAGAATAGGAAAAGGCAAGTTCCACTCACCAAAATCTGCCATAAAGTAGTACTAAACTTCAGCTTATAATGAGCTCAACTTCACAAGATATTAATGAGCTTGCACTACTTGGATTTCAACCACCAAAGCCCAAATCGAAACAAAACAGCCAATGCCCACATGAAACCAGCAAACAACCAAAGGACAAAATGGACCCCCAAAGCCGGCAAACCCAAGGAACCAAAATCCAAACCTTTTCCTACCATGATCATTGGATTTACCACCATCATTGGATAGCATAAAAAACAAAAAAAATAGAAAATATAACTAATATTGTTTATAACAAAAATATTGCAAAAAATCTAAATGCATCAGAAATCAGATCATAACAATTTCATTCATATGAACATTGAAGCAGTTCAGAAATTATAAAATTGTATGATACAGAAGACAATAAATCAGTATAAGTGTCAAATCAATAAAACAATTGTCACATCATTTCTACAAGCAATAGATAAATCATATAAAATGATAAAATCAAATCATCGATAAAGATTGTCGAAATCATATCAATGTAATAAAATCATATAGGAATTTACACATTATATCCAGTTATTATATATTAATATTAAATCAGTATATTAATCAAATGCTCGGTATATCCTATATATCACATGCTTAATGTATGTATCATATTTTTTATATCAATGAATCAGCAACATTGTTAATAATAAATCCGCACAATAATATGAATAATGTCTCAATAACGTGCATTTCTGTAGTCATGCTAAACAAGTAAGAAGTCATGGTTATCATGATGTTTTTCAGTATTATATTAGTATCTTTAAACTGTTAGCTCAATAAATAAAGTCACCACTCTTTACCCATCGGCACAATAATCATGTCCTTATAACTTCTAATCAATATATCATGTAAATCAATCGAGGATAACATAAAATCATATATTTAAAGGAAAGTCCGTCGGCCCATCATCTTATACATGTCAATCAATATTCAACCAATGGGTCAATCAATTTTTACTTATCATTTACACATATTATTATTACATTATTATAATCGTAATCTCAATCACATATCCACATTCATTTTTAATATATTGCATAAAATAAATCATAATTAAGCCTAATTCAAAAAGTACCAAAATATCATAGTAATATACAACAAATATCATGCTGAACAAAAAAAAAAAAAATCATATTTTTATAATTTAACCAAATTACATGGGATTATATATAACATAATTCTAAAGCTCTTATTGAACTAAAATAAAATTTTTAAACGTTAAAATAAATTGCTAAGTAGACAAAATGACTGCATTTTTAAAGTCACCGACAAAAAATCTAAAATAAATACTCAAAATGTTTATAATTTCAAGCTTTATAACATATAAAAATTCATGCAGTGAAAATTTTACTAATAAAAAATATCCTATTTTTTCAATAACGGACACACAAATTTGATCGAAAAAATATAAAAAAACATAAAATATTTGAAATCAGAAATACTGTATGAATTCCTTACAACAAGATAAACAAATCTTCCAACATATCTTCACCACCGCCGTCGGCCGACGCCACCCACTTCCGCCAACCATCACCTCTTCCATCGGCCTCCACCATTTTTATACTTTACATAACATTCATTTTTTTAAGCAAAAAAAAAAAAACATTCACTTCTATTTATTTTACATTCATGAAAAAAACTCAAAATACTATTTTACACTAATTTTTTCTTACACTGAAATCTTTTTTTTTAGTCAATTAAATATGCATTTCTTATTTTCTTTTACACCAGACTCCTTTTACAAGCAAATCAAACCGCTTAAACCCTTTAAATCCTACATAAATCCTTCTACCAAGAAGCCCTAGCTTTGAATTGTTAAATCTTTTAATTAGACGACCTCTTTAAAGCGGCCAAATGAGGAAAAATCTCAGTATCTCGTCACCGCCAGTAAGTATTCTCATCGTATTTTCTCCAAAACTAATTCCTCAACATATCTGTTTAGATCTTTGTTGATCGGGAGAACGGAAACGATAGGATAGAAATTGCGCTGTGGACGGAAATAATCGGCGGGCGAATCTCCGATCAAAATTTCCGGAGAGGACTGAGGAGAAGTCAGAGAGAGAGGGCGAGAAGGGAGATGAGATCTGGCCGGTCCTGAATGGACACCCTAACTGGCAACTTCATTGATCCCGCGCTATCTCGGCGGAGGCAGGGTGCTTCGGCGGGGCTTGCTTTTTCCGGTGGTTAAACTGCCGGTCAAGCGGCGGGGCCCGGTTTCGGCTTTTAGGGTTTCGCTTGACGTTTAAAGTTGGGGATGGGAACGGCGTCCGAGGGTTCCGATGAAGGAGGGGTCGCAGGCGACTGTGGTGTTGGGACGATTGTGTGGGTGCGTCGTCGTAACGGATCGTGGTGGCCTGGGAGGATTCTGGGTTCAGAAGACTTTGCTGAGTCGCACGTCATGTCGTCGAGGCCAGGAACGCCGGTGAAGCTTCTTGGGAGAGAGGACGCCAGCGTGTGAGGCTCTTCGTTTATTGTATAGTATGATATGCTTATACTGTGGCTTTATGTTATTTTGATAGTTCTGTTTGGGTTTCATTTCATCGAATCATGGAATATTTAAAAGAAAGACGAGCATGAAAGATAGAGAAGATCTTGTGAATTGGTGATTTTCCTTATTCCTTATTTCCTTTTCTTACAGAGGTTGTTTTTATTGTCGCAGTGTGTTTGATCACTTATTTTTATTTTGTTTTTCAAATCCCTCGTTTCTATCTTTCATTGGAATTTGTGGATGAGTGCTATTTTGAAAATACTTCAGAGCAGTGCATGGTCTAGACTCAAGGTTTCTTACCCCGTCACTTTATGTTTCCATGGTTTGAAATCTAGATTCATGCTATTTCATTTGGAAATATGTTTCTTGACCCAGTAGAAAAACTCTAAATAATTTGATGTTAGAGTTGTGATCATTCAACAATGATCAAATGTTACTGATTTCTCATGAATAATTTGTGACTGGAAATGCTAGAGAAACAAAAGGTTATGGTCAGTATATGATGCAAGATAGTGAATTGAGTGTAACTAGGACGAAAATGATTATTTACAACAAAGATGTAGTAAATTGATTGTTGATAGATGATGGATAGATAGTTTCAATGACCGTTTTTTACCATTTTTTTTCTTTTCTTGTGGATAAATTGAGAAATTCTTATAGGTTTTTGTTGAAAGCTAGGAATCACGTTTGCTTTGAAATACCTTATGTGTTTGTGCCAAAAACTTGTCATACATAGACACGTCCTTGACATTGTTCGACACATGTTTGACACACTCTAAATTGTGTGCAAGCATTTAAATAAATTAGGTTTTGACATAGTTTGACATGTCAGAAGGACATGTTGGTGAGAGATTACTTGTTCTAAGATATTACAACAACAACAACATCATGCCTTTATCCCACTACGTAAGGTCGGCTACATGAATCTTTTTTCTCCATTGTGTTATGTTAAGAGTTAAATTTTTATTTAAATCTAATAAGAAAATGTAATTTCTAATATTTTCTAATGAAGTTTTTTATCTCTAACTTTCTTAACATAGTCCAAATCTAATACATCTACTCTCCTAACCAGGTCATCATAAGGCTAATGTTTTATGTGACCAAACCATCTAAAGTGTCTCTCTCTAATCTTATCTGCCATCGAAGCTACTCCAACCTTTTCACATATATGCTCGTTTCACATTCCGTCTCTAAGAGTGAAGCCACTCATCCACCCGAGCATCCTCATTTATGCAGCCCTTAACTTAATTTTATGTTTGTCTTTTAACGACCAACATTTTGTGCCATAAAAATTGTTGGTCTCACCACCATCTTATAGACTATTCTCTTAAGTTTAAGGGGTACTTTTCTATCACATGATAGACCCGATGTATTCCTCCACTTCAGCCATCCAACTTGAATTCTACTAATAATATCCCCATCTATTTCACCATCACTTTGAACAATAGACCCGATATATCTTATTAATGACTTGATCGCCCAAAGTCACAATCCCCCTATTAGATCTATTACTACTAAAATTACACCTAATGTATTCGGTTTTAAATATACTAAAATGAAAACCTTTAGACTCTAATGTTGACCTCCATAGTTCAAGTTTATCTTGAACTCCCTCTCTAGTCTGATTAACAAGAAGAATATCATCAGCAAAAAGCATGCACCCTAATGATAAATTAATGTTACATGCAAAATAAGTAACAATCAACAATGATTAATTATGCTAATGTTGGAGTATTATTAGCAAATGATAACTATCACATATGGTCCAACATTTCTTTTATTTATTTTTCTTTTGTTATTTTTATGCTTCTTTTGTGAAGTATATGTGTATCATATTATACTTCACTAGGTGATGCTTTTAACAATAAATGCTATACATTACATATTTTGTATTAATAATTTATAAAATATAACGTTATATATGTTGAAAGAAAATGAGTGGCCTTGGAATATGTGTTTGAATTATCCATTAACAAATAGGCCCACAATAAAGATGGTTTTGGGTAGCCAATTGGAGAAAATAGTTTATGCATTATGTAGAATATGCTTTTTCCATTCCTTTGTTTCGTAGAATCTACTTCAATTATGGAAAATAGAAGTTAGTTATATACCCAATGGTTTTACTTATATTGAGTGCTAGAAGTACTTGACGGGGTTTTAGGATATTCTTAGTATTTGTTTTTTGGATGCTCAATTATAACATGGTTGCTTTGCAATAATTATCAAGTACATGAAGTGCCAACTAGAAAAATGCATTTGGCCAAATTACCTAAAGTCATGTTTGGCACTTGTTTGTTGTCTAAGGTTCCATTCGTTCTACGTGGGTGCATTAATATATGGAAAACTATGTTTTAGAGTCAAGCTTGGATAAAGCAAATGTTAACCACTATAAAATTCTACAATGTAAAGGTCATTTATGTGATTTTTGTTTTGTTTTGTTTTATGTGTTATGATTGGGTATTTTCTAATCATTGATGCATATTTTTATTTAAAATTTTAAAGATCTTATTGGTTGCAGATAAGGGTGTGAACGATTCGAGTCGAGCACGAGTTTGGGTTAGTTCGAGCTCGGCTCGTCAACGCAAAGGCAAGCTCGAACTCAAGCTCAAGCTCAACTTGAGCTCATATGGTGAGCTCGAACTCGACTCGCCGAAGTTGCAGTAGGCTCGAGCTCAGCTCGTGAGTATGCCTCCTTAGAGATGTTCAAATTGCATGGTCGACAGAGTGGGCTCGCTAGAGAAGGAGGTTGCTTGGGACATTAACTCATGAGCTTTTCTCACGGGAGGCGGGCTTGGCTGAGGGGGTTTAGAGAAAAACTTTTTATTAGAAGAAGAGTAGGAGGTTTTAAAAAAAATATATTTAATGATCTTTTTTTTGTGAAAGTAGGACAGCAGCTTTCCCAGGAAAATAACAATTGATAGCTGCGTTAATTGAACAATAGGCTTTTTTATTAGAAGAAGAGCATGAGGCTTATTTAAAAAATAATTAATGACTTATTTTTTTTAAAGAAGAACAACAACTTACAACAACAACAACATCAAGCCTTTGTCCCACTACGTGGAGTCGGCTACATGAATCTTTTTTCGCCATTGTGTCCGGTTAAAAGTCAAATTCTCATTTAAATCTAATAAAGTAAGATCATTTATAATATTTTCTAACCAAGTCTTTTTAGGTCTACATCTACCTTTCTTAACATAAGTCAAACCTAATATCTCAACTTTCCTAACCGGGTCATCAGAAGGCCTCCGTTTAATGTGACCAAACCATCTAAGGCGACTCTCTCTAATCTTATATTCCACTGGAGCTACTCCAATCTTTTCACGTATATGCTCATTTCGTATCCTATCTCTAAGGGTCAAGCCACTCATCCACCTAAGCATTCTCATCTCTGCCACACTTAACTTAGTATTATGCTTCTCTTTTAATGGCCAACATTAGGCACCATAAAGCATTGCAGGTCTCACCACCATCTTATAGAATTTTGCCTTAAGTTTAAGGGGGACTTTTCTATCGCACAATAAGCCCGATGCATTCCTCCACTTCAACCATCCAACTTGAATTATGCTGATAATATCCCCATCAATTTCACCATCTCTCTGAACAATAGATCCAAGATATCTAAAATGTGTACTCTTATTAATGATTTGATCGCCCAAAGTCACAATCCAATCACTAGGTCTATTGCTACTAAAATTACACTCCATATATTCAATTTTAGATCTACTCAAGAAAAATCCTTTAGACTCTAAAGTTGACCTCCATAATTTGAGTTTACCTTCAACTCCCTCTCTAGTCTTATCAAGAAAAAGAATATCATCAGCAAAAAGCATACACCAATGTACATCCTCTTGCAAATGTCTAGTGAGAAAGAAGAACAACAACCTAAAAAAAAAAGGAGGAAGCACATAAGGGGCAAGGTCGCGAGTTATGTGACAATAAGTTTCAAATTTACCCGATTTGGACAAATTCAAATCTTATAAAAATGAGCTTTCGAGCTATTCTAAATTCCTTAGAAATATTTTGTATTTGTTTTGCTTCGTACCAAACACCTGAAAAATGAAAATTTATGTTTTCTTTTTTATTTTATACCTTTTATACATCAAACCAAACGACCCATTTTAGTCTTTTTTGAGTTATAAATACGATCGTCTAGAAATGCGAAAGACATTGTATGGTTGAATAAATTCCCATTTTCTCAATTATTATGCGTGTTGCTGGATGTGTATTCTTCGAGAGCTTTGCAAGCGTTGATGAAAATTTTCCTGCATTATTTTTTTGGTACTGACGTGAGCCATAGATCTTTTGCTTGATGATTTCTATCCTATTGTTCATCTAAATGATTTAATGATCGGTTTGTGTGTGATGTTAAGATATTTGTCAAGTTGATACTTCTTAATTGTTATAATTTTTCTCAGGCTTCATGTGGAATTTAGATTTTGATAACTTATCATTTGGATGAATAAAATGCAGCTTTTTATTTTGCATTAAAAATGACATGCTTCTCTTAAATTGGAAGTTACAAAATTGTGGTATTGTGTTTTTTGTATGTCTCATTTCAGGTTTACATTAGTGATTTCTACACCTATCACATCTTACATTATATCCCTTACTTTGGTTACATGCGCGTCTGTGTAATTTGCTCTAACTTCATGCATTTCTTTTGTGACATTTTATGCCGGGCAAAAGATATTTTTTTTGCATACAACACAATTGCTAACATTGTATTAATTTCTCCCTATGCTTTTATATAAAGTGTAAGATGAAGACAGATCAAATATATTTACATTTTTCAAACCTGTATAAGTGGATTGATAAAAAAATGATGGCGAAGTTCTTTGTACATGAAGGCTTAAAATATGCCAAATGGGACTATTCTTCTCAGACTGTTGTTTGATTGAACTGCCATTTTGTTTTCTGCTGAATGCATAAAATCATTTTGGCATACAATTCCTTTACAAGATTGTCCTCATTAAAACTGTTTTTATTGTATATGATTGACAAGAGAATCGTTCTATGAAGCTTCTATATGACATATCCAAGTTTTTTGTGAACGGGGGATATCATTTATAACAACAACAACAACATCAAGCCTTTATCCCACTACGTGGGGTCGGCTACATGAATCCTTTTTCTCCATTGTGTCATATTAAAAGTCAAATTCTCGTTTAAATCTAATAAAGAAAGGTCATTCCTAATATTTTCTAACAAAGTCTTTTTAGGTCTATCCCTACCTTTCTTAACATAAGTCAAATCTAATACCTCTACTCTCCTAATCGGGTCATCGGAAGGCCGCCGTTTTATGCGACCAAACCATCTAAGGTGACTCTCTCTAATCTTATCTTCTACTGGAGCTACTCCAACCTTTTCACGTATATGCTCATTTCGTATCCTATCTCTAAGGGTAAAGCCACTCATCCACCTGAGCATCCTCATCTCTGCCACACTTAACTTAGTATTATGCTTCTCTTTTAATGGCCAACATTCGGCACCATAAAGCATTGCAGGCCTCACTACCATCTTATAGAATTTTCCCTTAAGTTTGAGGGGTACATTTCTATCACATAACAAGCCCGATGCATTCCTTCACTTCAACCATCCAACTTGAATTCTGCTGATAATATCCCCATCTATTTCACCATCACTCTAAACAATAGATCCAAGATATCTAAAACGTGTACTCTTATTAATGACTTGATCGCCCAAAGTCAGAATCCCCTCACTAGGTCTATTACTACTAAAATTACACTCCATATATTCCGTTTAAATCTACTCAAGCGAAAACCTTTAGACTCTAAGGTTGACCTCCATAATTCAAGTTTACCTTCAACTCCCTCTCTAGTCTTATCAACAAGAAGAATATCATCAGCAAAAAGCATACACCATGGTACATCCTCTTGCAAATGTCTAGTGAGAACATCCATGACTAAAGCAAAAAGATATGGGCTTAAGGCTGATCCTTGATGTAACCCAACCGAAATAGGGAAATACTTGGTCAATCCACCTTTGTTTGAACACAAGTAATAGCTCATGCATACATATCTTTAATGATTTGAATATAAGCATTATTGACTCTTTTCTTTTCAAGAACTCTCCATAGCACTTCTTTTGGAACTTTATCATATGCTTTTTCTAAATCAATAAATATCATATGTAGATCCTCCTTATTTTCATTTATGTTTGTCTAAATATATTCTTCAGTACAATTGTTGAAGGATCTGCCTTAGCTTTTTGATGTAACTTATAACTTCCTTTTTCTGTTCTGGTTTGTATATTCCATCGAGATGAAGCTCTCGTTGCTCATAGTGTCGTTGTTAGCCTATTGCATGTGTTTGTACTACAACAACAACAACAACAACAAATCTTTATCCTACCATGTGGGGTCGGCTACATGAATCCTTTTTCTCCATTGTGTCCCATCAAGAGTCAAATTTTCATCTAAATCTAATAAAAAAAGGTCATTTCTAATATTTTATAACCAAGTACTTTTAGGTCTACCTCTAGCTTTTTTAACATAAGTCAAATCTAATACATCTACTTTCCTAACAGTGTCATTGTAAGGCCGCCGTTTTATGTGACCAAACCATCTAAGGCGACTCTCTCTAATCTTATCTTCCACTGGAGCTACTCTAACCTTTTCATGCATATGCTCTTTTCGCATCCTCATCTCTGCAACACTTAACTTAATATTATGCTTCTCTTTTAATGGCCAATATTCTGCACCATAAAGCATTGTAGGTCTCACTACCATCTTATAGAATTTTCACTTAGTTTGAGAGGGACTTCTATCACACAACAAGCCCGTTGCATTTAGTTTGAGAGGGACTTTTCTATCACACAACAACAACCCCGTTGCATTCCTCCCCATCCAACTTAAATTCTACTAATAATATTCTCATCTATTTCACCATCACTCTGAACAATAGACCCAAGATATCTAAAATGTGTACTCTATTGCATGTGTTTGTAAATAGATTAATTAATGTTTCTTTTGAGATTGCTTGGCAGGCCAGATGGCGGCAGCACCTCTCTTTAGATTACTAGGCTTTTACCTTTGTCGAGTGATATTCCTTTCTAATAGTTCGTGCATTTCTCCATTTGTTAACCCTCTTCGTTTTTCTCACAAATTTATCTCTTCGTACAGAGATTGGTATAATTTAGAGAAATCCAAACGCGTCAAGCCATTCCGATGTGGGGAGTTTGATGCATTTATAGAAAGGGCTGAGGCCTCTCATAGTATTCCTATTAAGAAAAGGGAGAAATATGCACGTCGGGAAGATGCCATTCTGCATGCTCTTGAACTTGAAAAACAACAGCTTGAAATGCAGCAGGAAAGCAAAGCTATCTCATGCCATGCAGGTCATAAAACTTTAGGCTTATCAGAAAGAGAATCAAATCATTACTCTTCTGAAGTTTATGTTTCGGGCTTACCAGCAAACCAGGAATCTCAAACATCTTCCAGGAAGATATCTTCATTACTGGATGAATGCCATCTTGACCATCCATTGCCTATACATAGAAACAGAAAGGTTAAGACAAGCATTAGTGAGGATTACAAGAATGAAATTTCAACTCATATTAATGTAGAAGATGTCAGTCCTGAAGTTGTTAAGTCGAAAGGAAAGCTCTTTCTTTCTGTTGCTGGGGGGAATTCTGATATTACTGATGATGATCACAGTGATTTGCTTCCTCACGGTGGACTTAACTCTGGATATATAAGTCAAGCAGCGATTGACAACAATTTCTCTGCTTCTAAAAGGAAAAATCTTCTGCCTGGTGCAATTAATGACAATCCTGCTAAAAAACGGGCTAGGCGTCGCCCTCTTGTCAAAGTTTTACTGAATAGTACAAAGTTATCGGTTTCTCATTCCTTTCGGCCCCACCAAGATCTCGGTGGTGACACAATGCCTACAGAAGAACACTTTATCAACATAGCCCATGATGCACAGAAGAACAGCACCATACATTCGTCACCCGATGCTGATGATCTTTTAGATTATTCCAGCCATTCATGGAAAAAAACACCTGCGGATTCTGGGAATGCTTACCAGCTGCAACAAACTGGTTGCATATCGAATGAGAGCACACCATCTAGATGGACTGAAGAAAATGATTTCGATTCTTCTGCAACAGATTCTGAACTTGAGATGGCTGGAGCAAAACTTAGATCAGGTAATTAGCTGTATCTGCTTTATTTTTCCATTTAATTTCTTGTATTACATTTATCTTTATTTCTTACAAGTCCTTTCTTCATGGTCTCTCTCTTACATAACTACTCCCTTTCATTGGTTATCTTTGTGCTTCACCTTGCTCAATGAATGTGGTGTTTTGATTTTAATGGAGAGAAACATTTATAGCAAGAGAAAGCACTTTTGAGTTTAGTACTTTGGTTATATATATTTACTCTTCAATTTCAATAGTTCAGCTTTGCTGAGACTTCTGACACTTCTAAGTATTTTGAGTTGCTTATTTTGGCTTGATTTATTTATTATACAATTTAAATTAAAATTTAAACATGATTTTTTTGCTTTATTTAGCGTCCTGAGACTGCTTTTGCAACTTGTTCAATGATGGCACCATTTATTTGATTGTCATAGAGGTTTAATCGGTAACTGTCATCCAATTTATTTCTCGCTCCTTTTCTTTTTCACAGATATTTGGATTCTTTGTTCAAGTTTGTTTGGTTGTAGATTTGTCTAGTTGATAAGCTAAAAATGAGAAGGAGATGGTCCGATGAGAACATCAGCAGGAGATTTTGACGCGTTTATCAAAGGAGGCATCGGAGATTGACGTCGAGGATCATGAGCCTTTATTTTTTATACATTTTATGTATTATTTTTTTTTAAATATTTCAATTTTTCCTATTTTACTCCTATGGGTAATAGCTTGTTATTGTAGCCCTAAGGGCACTCTAGTCCTTTTTCTTTTATCATGTTGAGGCCTATATATAAGGCTCCATTTTATTGTATTTGGATGATGATTTAATGAATATAATTTTCGGCTTTTGTCTTCTTCATTGTCGTGAACTTTGAGAGAAGAAAGAGAATCATAGGTGAGGGTGATTGCAATACCCGTCAGTATTTGGAAGAGTCAGAGACTCGCGGCTTATCTTTTTCCTTCCCCTTGCATCCGACCACCTCCCCCATCTTCCCTACACTCGCCGGCTCCCTACTCAACTCCCCGCACCCAACGGCTCCATCACATTGCCCCCTTCAAATCGAGGGCCTTTCCCCTTGCCGCCGCCCCACCACCCCACGCCACCGGCCTTCTAAGGCCTCCAAGCCGCCGGCCTACTAAGGCCTCCAAGCTGCCGGCCACTAGTGCCCACAAGTTTGAATTCCAATTCAATTTTCCCCTTAATCCCTTTCCTAAAATAGCTTAGTATTGATTAAGAAAGTTTCCTATTTGAATTCAAATTAATATTTGAATTTAAATCACTTTCCTTATTGATAAAACTAATTTAGGAAACCCCTTTAATTAAATCAAATATGAAATTAAATTTTAGATTTGATTTCAATCACTAATTAAAGTCAAGGGCCCACATACATTGAACCTACACATCCTCTCTCTCACCTCATACGGCCAGCTCCTTCCCTTGCCTTTTATCTCTCCAATTTAATCCCTAACCCCAATTAAACTCCCCCATTAATCCCTCCTAAGCCGCCGGCCCCTATAGCTATTTTTGGGATAATTTGGATTTCAAAATTAGTCCATTTCCCTCGCATCGAAAAAATTGAAATTAAATTCAGATTTTCTAAGTATTTATTCCACCTCCCTAGCCCTAAACCCAAGGATTCCCCACCCAAACCCTAGCCGTCCTGCTCCCTTTCCCTCTCTACCCGAACCCTCAAGTCACCTGTTCCTCCCCTACCTCCTTCCTTCACAAGCCACCGACTCCAAGGATCCCAAGAAAGGAGTATCCCTTATTCATGGATGGCCAATCCTGAAGTCGAGCACGATTTCGCGTATGATTCTCAAGGGCAAATCGACACTATTTAGTCGTCGTTCTTCAACCCCGATTGGGAGCTAGTGGATTCCGTCGACGATTACGTCGACCTCATACTATTCTATCTAGCTGAGACTATTGACGAACAACGACTCTCCGGACAGTGGCAACTCGTTGGACGTCCACCTGCGTCTCCTTCTCTGGCTACCTTCCCGTGGATCAAGAACGTCGGCGTCCTAACTCTCTTGGTGACGTCATTTGGATTGCTGAAAGTCTCTCTCCGCTAAAGCCTTTCATAGAGTGTGAGTGAGAGGAAACTCTTGGTGAAAGTTCTAAATATTAACCCGGGGATTCTTATTACGGCATATTTAGTTTTACTGTATTTTCTAATATTATTTTAGTTGTTTTGTCCTCCTAACTTGTTATTGCATGTCAAAACAAAATGTCAATTGAGAATTCTTAAATTTAATTATTGCGGTTCATTAATCTTAAAGTGGCAAGCTTTACATAATTTTTTTTAATCCCTTACAAGTCCTGTTTGTATCACTTCATGGTCTTGGTCTACGTGTGAACAAAATCCCAATGTCTAATGCTGAGGGACTTTTCTCGTGAACTTTTGTCGGAGAATTTAATGTGCTTTCAGCTTGCCAGATTTTTTTTTTAAAGTGGAGTTGGAGAGGAACTGTTCTTTTCTAATATGTGAACCGGAAAGGACGTTGGCTTGCACTAAGAGCATTCACCTGGGAGAAACCTACCCACCAAGTCATCCTTGTGAACTGTAAAAACTTTGATCTTTACTTGGTAGGAGGGGCTTCTCTTTTAGAGCTTTTATTGACTATAGTATTTAGCTAAGATTTTAAAGAACAGTTAAGAGAACTATCCTGTCCAAAATCACATACTCTCACATTGAGAGAGTGATTTAAAATATTCGTTACTCAGAATTGTTAGCAACATATAATAGGTCAAAGAAGGATGTTAGCTTGTTCCGCAGATGTTTGTCTTCAAAACCAAATAAGCTACTGAGACAAAAGGGTTTGATCCTAAACTAGGAGTGTTGTCTCCCTTTGGATATGCTCATATTCTAGCTCTTTATAACTTAGGTTTATCAATATAATAAGATGCAAAATTGTAGGGAATTTAGAAAATGCTTCAAGAGTGTTGTTGTCTCCCTCCAGCCATCCAGCTCAATCACAGAACCTCCTTTCCTTCCCCTTGCCGCTGTCCACAACAAGCAGTCAGCTGCCAAGATTCGGCGAGCCAGTCTCCAGCTCCAGATCTTCTTCGGGCATCAACTGGGCCTTCATTTCCATCTGCCAGACTCCAGATTGCAGCCCAGTTCTCAGCCACAGGTTCTGTTCTTGGAGTTCACAAGAACTGCACCTCCTCTTTTCCTCCATCTCTCAACCATCCCGCCCTTTCCCAAGGCCTGGTCCTCCCTTCCTTCCCTGGCAACCGCCCATAGCAACCAGCAGGATGCAATCTCAGCCTTCCAGGCCATTTCTGCCGCCAGAACCAGGCCTTCAAGAACCAGCCCCAACATCTGCGGCTCCCTTCCTTTGGCTTCCTGCTGTCCTCAACTAGCAGCTCTCAGGAATTGGGTTCCTTCCCATACAGCCAGGCTCTGTAGCTTTCAAGAAACCAAAGTTTTATCAGAATTCTGTAAAGACAGAATTCCAGAAAACTCTCAGTTTTCCAATTTCTGCAGAACAGCCACGAAAAACTTTCTCTCTCTCAGGTTTTTGTAAACCGGTTCCCTGTTTTTTCTCGTATCAGTTTCTCCCACCAGAAGGAGAGAGTTAGAGCACAAAAACAGCAAGCAATTGGGACTAAATATATTTTGGAGCTTTTATGATTACCATGTGAATTTATGTTATTATGAGTGGACCAAGTAACTTGCATGTCCATTCTATGCTCTATTTCCAATGCTTGATTGTTTTCTTCCGTGCTGACATTTTTCTAATTGAAGTATCAATTGATTAATCTGATTTCTAGGTGTCACTCAACCTTTAAAACAGACTGGTGAAAGTTCTATTGAGAGGGGCATGTCACACTGGCATCTCAAAGGAAAGCGCAACAATCGAATTATATCAAAGAGGCTCCATGAATATGCGGATGGAAAGAACATAGGCGGCCCAGATAAATTGAATGTTCAATTTAGAGAAACATCACCTGAAGGCAAGACAACAACTTCCTACAACATTGGTAAATTTGACTCGGCAGCAACACCTACTGCAACTGGACCAGAATTTTCATCTGAAAAAGAGATTTTTTATGATACAGAGGAGGAGATGTTTACTGGATTAGGGAACAAGAGAGATGACTTGGAGAGACAACATAGTGATTTTATTGATTCAGATGATGACCAACAGTTGATATCTGAGCCAGGCTGGGGAACTGTGAGACCATTTCAGATGTGGAAGGCATACTGGGAAGATCCTGGATATAATCTTGACCAATTTTACACCACCCCTTTTAGCTACAGAATGATCCCAATGTTGATAGATGTAGATTTGAAGGTTCAAGCAAGATATCAAGGAGAGCATGTCCCTTTGGTTTCTCTAATGAGCAAGCTAAATGGCATGGCAATTGTAGGGCATCCTGTCCATATTGAAGTGCTAGAAGATGGATCTACTGATCTGCTTCTTCCATCAAATGAGTTTGAAGAAACAGCAGCAGCTCCACCTATATGGAAAACTGCTAAAAGAACTTCCATGCACAGGCTCCCTCGATCAAATGCCGATCGATCAAACAACTCATTCACCGATGGAAAATCTCAGTTGGACTTCTCGGCTCCAGAAGCGAAGAAGAAGAGATTCTATTATGCTCACCGATCCGCTTCAGGTAGGTTTCAGAGAAAACCTCTTAAAACAGTGAACTTATCTTCCAGCCAGAAAACACGAGCACTCTCTTCTTTTGTTTCTGAGAAGAAACTCAATAGTGGAAGTGCTGGCTTGGGTGGGTTGATCGAAGCAGATGGATCAATGCCTCTAGTAACATGTATACCTACCAAGGTGGTATTCAGTAGGATACTGGAATCAGTTGGGAGGCCATCTGCTGCTGTGGCTCGCCGAGCTATAGTAGCCAGTGCTGCTGATAAAGGTCAATTTTAGTTAAAATTTTCATTCCATCATGATTTTAAATGTTATTACTAGCAGTTGATTACTGTTTGGCTTAAGGATGATTGGTGTCCTTAAGCACAAACAGTTTCATTAAACATGCTTGTCCATCACAATGATTACTGATCACTTGGCTATAAAGCCTTGTGATCTCCACCATTGTACATTGTTCTAATCAGAGACCATGTTTAATTGATTCAGAAGAGTTTTTTTGAGATCTGATCTTATTAATACTGCTTGGGCATAGGCTCAGCTAGCTTGAGCTCTAAACAAGACTTTCATTTTCCCAACCAATTGTCTTGTGTGCTGTACTAACTGCGCCATTTAGATCCAAATTAGAATTTGCATGTTTTTTGAGTGATGTATCAACGGTGATATTGATAATTTAACATGCACAGCAACACACACAAGAGATGTATTTTTTTGTGGAAGACTTGGTAATAGGAAAATATTACGGGACTTAGCTTAGCTGAAATAACTTCAGTAATGTGAGTGAAAGATTATAACATATGTGATTCTTTCTAAATATAATGATAATCTTACTATAACTGTCATTTAGGTTATGATTGATGAGAAGCATTAGAAATTAGATGATGATGGGCAATCAAATTGGTCATTCTCTAGATTAGAGGGGAATTGTATTAGGAAAGATGGCGACGGTGTGATGTTGATGGTTAGTGTCGGACCCGACACATATTAGATTGGTTGACAAAGCTTTAAAAGTTGATTAGCAATGAATGGTCAAATTGGTTTTTCTTTTGATAAGAGGAAATATTTATTAGACTATTGGTAAGATAGGCGTCATATATCGGTGGTTGATAGATGTTGGATGCTAATCATTGGTAGGCATCATACTATAATAGTAGATTTGGAGCGTTAGAAGTGAGACGATGGTGACGGTCAATTCGACTGTTATGGCGATAGGAGGGGAGATCGAGCGATAGGAGGGGAGATCGAGGGTATAGTAACTCATATCATAAGTCAAACAATAAAGGACGTTGAACATTCGTTGGCTAGGAATGACGAAAGTCGGGCTATGATGGGCAATTGATTTTATAATTCTCTTGATAGGAGGGGGATCAGATGATTGGGAAGATGAGCATCAGATGATGGTGCTATATGGATGTTAGACTTATAGTTGTTTGCGTATGAGAGTCAAGAAGAATTTTAAATGTTGGGTGATGGTGGGCTATCAATTTAATATTTTCTTTTGATGGAGAGGAGGTTGGGACTTATGAGATGATTGTCTAATTTTTCTTTTGTGTAAAGAGGTAAAAATATCCTTTAAGACTCAGAATTGTGAGTGACATTTGAGAATTGTTATTTTTCTTCTGCAGGGCTGTTAAAAATGTTTGTTGTCAATGAATAATTTGTGTTTGGCTATCTATGAAGATCTTATTATGTTTGCTTGTTATGAAAATGAGCTGAGTTCAAATGAATATTTTAAGCATATTTTTTTTAAATAATTTGAATGCAAACATATATTTGTTCAATTTTGTTTGACTTATTAAACCCCACCGTATTTAGTTGGGTTGGTGGGCGAGCATGGTTGGGATCCCCCAACCTATGTTCGATTCTCCTATCATGCGGTGAGAAAATAACTGCGGGTTTTGCACCTGTGGGGCTGGTTGCTGATAGACTTGCTGAGAGATTAGTTGCGCTGACTCTTATGGGGTGGCAGTGGGTAGATGCCTCTATTCTAAAAAAAAAAGTTTTGACTTATAAATAAATATTATGTTTTGTGTATGATTAGTCTTAAAATTTAAATTTTTCATAATTCGAACCTAATAATTTTGTCAAAGTTTGAAAGAATTGAGCATGAATTTGATGATTACAAATAATTTTAAGTACAAGCTGATTCAAATAAAATAAAAATAGAATTAGTTAAAAGTGGACACATGTCAAACGCTCATATTCAATTTTTTTGGGGAACATTTAGATCAATTAAGTCAAATTCTTACACAATTTTAATCTAGGACTTTTTTATTAATAGTCAAAACTTCAAACTAATCAAGTTGAATAAAGCTCATATTCTACTTATTCACACCCTTATCTTCGAGGTTTTGGCCTTCCTTTAAAAATAATTTGAATCTTAGTTGTGTGGAATTGAATCAATGCTTTATAATTTATTGTTTCATTCTTTTGTTTCCAATTGGTTTCTCCCCATCTTATTGAACATAGTATAACTTTGTAATTTTTTTTTTAATATAATTTTCTTTCCTTAATTTATTGAGTTTAGATCTCATATTAAAAAAAATATCAATTAGCCCAATCTAATAATTCTGGTCAATATGAACAATTTTTTTATTTCATGTCATGAAATGAGAAGGGTAATTGGATGATTCAGCTCTCATTTGAACGTGTAATCAGTGATCGAGATTATGTTGATAGATTTTGTATCGGGATGAGATTATTTTTATTATATGTTCTTAATTTTATGTGTCACATATTATCATTCAATATAATTAAATTATATAATTAAATGATTGAATGGTTAGATAAATATAACTATTATCATATATTCATAATATTTTTTACGAGATTATTCTGATTATTTAATTTTATTGATTTCATAATTGATTTATTTATATTTTAATAATTTAATTATATTAAGTGATAATATGTGACATATGAAATCAAAATATATTTAAAAATAGAGATTTTATGCCTTTTTCTTTTCATTTTCAATATAAGCTCAGTATCATTGAACTCTATAAAAATTTATTTTTAATTTTAGTTCAATCCAACGTATTGAAACTTCACTCATAAATTTTAAAAAATCTAGTAAGATATTCCATCAAAATATTAATTAAAAAAGAGGATATTTATTTATTTATTAATTATTATTTTTAATTTTTTCATACAATATCCAAAGGGGATCACGGACATCCACGTGACGAGAGATTAGAGTCTTTGAAGAATTTTTTTTATAATTTTATTTTCTTCGGCCTCTCCACGTGATTGGAGATCAGAGTTTCTGCCATTTTTAACTCGAGTGAAAGATTTGTGTGAGTCATCAACTCACTAGACTTCCTGTTCCTGGCGCCTGTTACGCGGTTAGACTTTTTAGAGCCCGAGCGGGAGGCGACGCCCGTGTCTTCTCGTAGAGGCCGATCAAACCCTAGGAATTTCAAGATTTCTAACGGCGATCGGCGTCGAGGCGATCGTCTTCGCTATTCCAGTCTTTGTCGTGGCCGCTAGCCCACAGGTAATGGTGATTTCAATTGTATTGGCTTTTGTTAGGGATTTTTTAATTGTTCTCCGTTAAAAGAAGTTTGGATTTTGGGTTATATAATCGGGGCGCATTCAACTTTTGAGTTATGTGGGAGTTACGTTGTTTTGGTGTCAAGCTTGTCGAATTTTTCTTGTCTGTTGGTTTAGTCAAAGTGGATGTATTTTCTCTATTTCTCGACTTTAAAAATTAATTATGTAAAGGCATTTGATTTGTACTCTTTGTGTCTCCCTCCATCCCTCCTTGCATGTTTGTCCAATGATTTCCTTATATTCAAATTTGCCTTTGGATATCCAGCAAACTTAATGTTGAGAATCACAGAAATCTCCAACCTTACATAATAAAATGAAAAGAGAAAACGAAGGTAGAAGGAAGCCCTTTTTGACAAGTTTCCATAGTCCTCACCGTGATACACAAATACAGCAAGGTTAAAACATAGCAGAGAAAAGATGCAAGCAAGAATGATATGATGGAGGCGGTAAGGCATCCACGGTGAGGATTGGTTACAAAATGAAGGTGCTTGATCACGGCAGAGAAAGCAGCCATAAGCTGTATATCATTAGTATGTCTACATATCCGGTCTGCTTATCATAAGTTAACAATATTTTCATTGATTGTTAACTTGGCACACAACTATAGAAAATATTTGACTGGCAATGCTTTGGTAAATATACCAACAATTTGATCATCTATTTTGATACGATGAACTATAAGAGTGGTGTTTTTAATGCAATCTCGAATGAAGTGAAAATTAATTTTAATATGTTTAGTTTTTATATAAAAAATTGAATTATTAGCAAGAGAAATTGCTGATACTTCGTTACATAATAGAGAGGTGGAATGCAAGATGTATATGTAAAATTCCTGAAGCAAGTGCCACATCCAAATAAGATTAGTGGCTAATGTGGCTAAAGCTCAATATTTAGCTTTAGTAAATGACTGAACTATTGTCTTTTGCTTCTTAACATGCCATGAGATTAATGTAGTTCCAAGATAGGTACAATAGTAAGTGATATATTTTCTATCCATATGATCACCAGCTCAATCTGAATCTAAATATGCATGAAGTGTAAGATTGCTTGGGTTAATTGGTAAACCAAAAGATAGAGTACCTTTAAGGTGCCGAAGAATACTTTTAAGAAGTTAATTGCAAGTGTTTAGATGGATTATTCATATTAGAGGAAATGTTGGGTAGAGTGATGGTTAAATACTACAGGGATTCAACAATGTGTCTATAATGTTCAGCACTTGAGTATAGGTCACTGTTGTTAGTTGAAGAAAAGATTTTAGTTTCATTGGAGTAGAAATGGAGTTGCAGTCAGCCATGCCTTCTTTTAACAATTTAGCAGCATATTTTGATGAGTAAGATGAATGTTGGTAGGTGTATTGAGGAGCTTAATGCTAAGAAAGTAGCTTAGAATGTCAAGAATTATAAGCTTAAAAGCATTATGTAGATCAACGAGAAGCTGTTCTATAAGGTTGTAATTATTTCTAGCCAAGAGAATGGCATCCATGTATATTAAAAGAGAGATTGATTTTCCTTGACTGTTTATGAATGACCAAAATGATCCCAACTATATTAAAGTACCATTTTGGTCCCTCAAGTCTTTAAAAGGAATCAAAATAATCCCATTGTGGAACTATTTTGCTCCTCTTTAAGGAGTTGAGGGACAAAAATTGTTCTTTAATATAGTTGGGGACTATTTTGATCTTTCATAAAGAGTTTAAGAACCATTTTGATCCTTGTCTCTATATTAAAATATACAAATAAGTGCTGCCTTGGTTATAAATAAAAAAGGAAGGATCGGTTTATCTTGTTTTAAAACAAAATTGAAGTGAGCGAGTGGAAAAAGTAGCAAACCATTGTTTTAGTCTAAAAATAGAATTCCTTAGCAGACAAACATAATCTGGATGTTGTGGAGCTTGAAAACCCTGCGCCTAAGTCATTTAGCTTACCATGTAAGAACGTATTTGACACGTGCAATTGTAGAATTTTCCACTTAAAGGTAATGTCCGCAGTCAAAAGAATGTTTGGTGACTTTGCTACTAGACTAAAGGTATCAAAATAGTCTAAACCATACTCTTGCTTAAAGGCTTGAGCTTCAAGCTTAGCTTTGTGTCTAGCAATGGTCCCATCATAATTATGTTTGGTCCTATAAATTCATTTGAAGCCTAACACATTTTGTGAGGTATACAGTGGAACAAAAATCTACTTACCCTGAGCTTTAAGAACTTCGAACTCTTCAGACATAGCTTGATCTCACACTTTTTTCTTGATAGATTTTGAGTAACAAGTTGGATCAGAATTATTTGGGCAATTTGACATGCTCACAATTTGTTTTGATTTTAGAGTACTAGTCTGCAGTGTCGCTACCATTAGATGAGATTGGGTAGATGGTGGAGGCATAGAAGGCTAAGAAGAAGATGTAATTTCACTCGGAGGTAGATTAGTATTGGGAGAGGGAGGAACAGCTTAGGGATATGAAATGGAGGAATGGGCAGGTTGATGCATCGAAAACTTTGAAGCTGCTGAGATTGATTTGGCCAACTGCAGGTGGGAACAAGGGTTGATGTTGGATGATATGGCTGAGGAATGAAGAGTGAGTAGAGATAGTGATTGAGTGAAAGGAAAAGATATGTCCCAAAAATTTGCCATGGGGTGAGAAAATAACTTTGTTTTAAGATTGTAATAGTTGTATCATTTATAGCTGGAAACATACCCAAAAAATATGCATGGATAGGATTTTTGTTCAAATTTATGCTCTAAAACAGTGGGTAAGCACGGATAACATAAGCAGCAAATAATCTTAAGATGATTGTAGGTGGGTGTTTTATTATAGAGTTACTGATAAGGAGAACATTTAGTGGTGGCCAAGGATGGAAACCAACTAATAAGATAAATGACTTTTAAGAAAGTATCCACCAAGAATTAAAATGGAATTTTAGCATCAAGGTCCTTAGAGTTATGTTCAACGACGCCATTTTGTTTGATTGTGCGAGGACAATTTAATTATTGAACAATGTCAATATTGTGTAGTATAATTTGAAGGCTTTTATTGATATACTCTTCACCACCATCAGATGATCAGAATGATGAATTTTGATGAATTTATGTTTAGCTAAAGCTTTGAAATATAAAAATTAGGAGGTTGTTTTGAATTTTGTTCATATAAGATACACCCAACTCTAATGAGAGAAATCATCCACAAATAAAAGATAATATTTATATTCTTGCATAGACAAAATTGGGGAAGGACCCGATACATCAGTATTTATCAGTTCCAAAGGTTCTTACTATGAGAAAGAGAACTAGAGAAAGATATTTTGTGACCCTTTGCTAGTGCTCAAGAGTCACAGTGAGTTATTTTGAGAGATGCAGATGTTGATTGTGGTTGATTGAAACTGAGATTGTATAGAAACAAAAGGATGATTGAATTTGTGCTGCCAGAGCTTTGAAGTAGATGAAATGGTGATGAGAGTAGAATGTGGAACTGAGGTAGGTCTGGTGGATTTAATTTAATACAGCTGTTGATGAGAAATGCCTTGGAGATGTGTGTGATTCCTCATCGAATCCTTGATGGTAAAACTAGAACTATGAAAAACAATTAGGCATGAATTATAAGAAACCAACTTATTTATAGCATCAAATAAAATGGCGGACGAGGCATCCGCATTGAGGTGCCCCTCAGGTCGAGGCGGAAGCCATATGCGCTGAGGCTTAAGCCTCGAAGGGTCGGGTGGAACGTGTGATTTTTTCGCGCGGGGCGTACGCAGAAGAGCGTAAAGCCTTGAGGCGTAATGAGGAACTGCCTCGATTTATTCGGTTTATATGTAAATGCCATATAGTAGTACGCAGTTGAGTCGTATAAGGGTCGCATATAAGATTATGGTATCTACTTCGTGTGAGAATTGAAAGGCGAAAGCAAACTCGGTCGACTTCAACAGCCAAGTTCAGTGGACTATTTGGAGTTTAGGTGGCTGTGATTGACTCTCAATGATTGATTTGGTAGAACCTTTAAATAAATCACAAGTCAGATAGTGCACAAGTCCTGTGAAGCTACCGAGAGTAATTGATCTATTCGGCTACAGTTGGGGCAGCTTTTGATTTGGACTTTAGTGTAGGTAGAATAAAGTGGATTTCACATGAAACAACGACAAAGGTACAATTCCTGCTCTTAAGAAGCATTCGACTGAAGTAAAGGAGGTGGAACCGAAGCATTCGACTGAAGCAAAGGAGGTGGAACCGAGAGAGGCTTCGGTTTGCAAAAAAAAAAAAGGACGTTTTACCTGTTGAAGACGGAGGCTTGGCTGAGTTTAGAACAGCAAGTGTTCTGCTTGGCTCTGATGTGAGTTTGATGAGGTGGCGGTTCTGCAGAGCTTGGGGAGTTTTTTTTTTTTTGGTGGAGCTGAGATTGATTTTGGCGTGAAACAGAGAAGGAAAAGTCAACATTTGAACTAAGACAAGTTGCTGAAATCAGCAGCTGAAGAAGGATCAAGTGTGGTTGGCGGATAGGTGAAGTAGACAGAACGAATAGCTGTTTGGGGAGGTTGGAAAGCACAGTTTGTGGCTGCTAAATGAGTGCAGTAGGCGCGGAAGGTATAGAGGCTTGAGTTGTCGCTGAGATTGGCTGAAGACTTTCGGTACAGTGAAGATCAAGGCAGGCGTATGATTCAGTGAAGGAAGAACTCGGCAAGGGAGTTTTGGAGGGTTGGAATTAACGGCTTCTGGAGGGCAAATCGAGAAGATTGAGAAGTGGAGTTCGGTAAACAGAGAGAATCGTCACCTTGGGTCGGATGTGGGTCGGGAAAGAAGCTTGCGAGAGACAGAAGTTTTTGGTGCTCGGAGATGAGAAGAAAAAAAAATGAAGCCTTAGTCCTCATTTTAACGCTGGAAGGTTGTATTCGAACGAGGCCTCATATGTCCGAGGTTTTCCACTCAACCGGATATCCGGGATTCGGTAGAGTTTCGACAGTCTCAGGTATGATTAATGCGAAGTAATTTTGATTTGATTTTCTCAGTTGACTTGCTATGTTTGGTTAAATTCACAGGCAGAGCTAATAATGACATGCTATTATAAGAAATGTCATTAATTAAGTTGATATTGACACGACTATCAATGAATATTACTTTGATTTTTGTGCATTTTGCCTTGAAATGTGTGTAATCACCTCGTTTAATGTGTCAAATTCGTCGAATAGAAATTAGATGAATTGGTAGTGTATTTAGGGTATTGCCGATATCCCGGTCGCAACGACGCAGTCCATTTTGCGATCAAACTTCGTTTGGGCAACGCTGAGGCCCAATTTTCTCAAAATATGTGTTGTCACTTTGAAATTGCCTCGATTTGCACACACAATCTCATTCAGGCAAATTGATAGTGTATTTAGAATGTGACGCATTCCGAACACATCGACGAAGTTTGTTCGTCAATCAAACCTCATTTGGATGACGCCGAGATTAATTTTCTCCGATACGCATGCTTTGCTTCGATATTCGTATCGACCCCCTTGCATGCCCATCAATTTGTTAAATTGAACGTCATCATTAGGTATTCTAAGATAATTTTGATGTTTCGATCGCAAAGACGCAGTTCGTTTTGCAATCAGACTCGTTTGGGCAACCTCGAGGCCTCTTTCTCCGGTATGCGTGTTTTGCCTCGATATTTATGCCACCATCCCAGATGATCCAAATTGAATATAGAAAATGTAGTTCTTAAATATTTGCGTTATTCCAATCGCAATGGAGAAATCCATTTCACGAACGGACATCATTTGAACAACGACGAGACCAATTTTCCTCAAAATTTGTGCTATTTGCCTGGTTATCCGTGCCACCAATATGGATGTTTCAAATTGAATAAACAAAATATAGTTTTTAGAGGTTGACAATGTTCCGAACGTAACGACGAAGTCTGTTTATCGATCCGACATCGTTTGATCAGCCTCACGCTTTAATTTCTGGTGTCGGTTGTCCCGTTTGACCGATCTCGTCCGATTCAATTGCGAGGGGCTTCGACCCAGCAAAATTCAATGTCCTGATCGCAACGATGCTGTATGTTTTACAATCGGAGGTCGTTTGACCCTTCAAGTGATGCGTGGCGCTAAGACGCTTATCGCTTTATTCACCAGTTTGTGTTCTTTCTCATGTGGTTTGAGGTATAGGGGTCAACAGAAGCCAACTACTTTATTTTAACAAGGCACGCGGGGACTCATGGATAGATTTATGATTAGTATGGATGACGAGGAAAACACAAACACTTAGGATATTCCCTCTTTTACTGCTACAAAGAAACTCTGGAATAGAATTTGTTTAGATATTGCCTGATTCATCTATGAAAATGGTATACCAGTCAATGTTATTAGGAGCCCGTCATGAATCAATATGTTTCGACTTGTTGAAGCTATGATAGAGGACTACAACTTTTAAGCATGTATGAGCTGAGGACTTGGATGCTAAATGAGGATGTCAAAATAATTTTAAAAATAGTGAATGAAGTAAAAAATACTTAGATTGAAACAAGAGTGACAATAATGTCAGATGGTTGGTCATATATTCGATATAGAAATATTATTAATTTCTTGATCAATAATACATATGGAACTATTTTTTAAAAATCATGTAAGTGTTGCTGTAATGTGCATGCTTTACAAAACTTGAAGTATCAACTGATTTTAGAAAAATAGTTCCATATGGATTATTGACCAAGAAATTAATAATACTTTTATGTCGAATATCTGACCAACCGTATGATATTGTTACTTTTGTCTTAATCCACGTTTTTTTAATTTCATCCACCATTTTTAAAGTTATCTTGACCTCCTCATTTAAGTTCTTAGCTCATATATGTTTGGAAGTTGTAGTCCTCTACTATAACTTTTAACAGATCGTAACATATTGATCAATGATGGACTCCTAACAATATTGAATGGTATACTATTTTCATAGATAAATCTTGCAATATCTAAACAAACTCTATTTCTTAGTTTTTTATAGCAATAGGAGGAATATCTTAAGTATTTGTGTTTTCTTCATCATCAATATTAAACATAAATTTATCAATGGGTCCCCGAGTGCCTCGGTTAGAAGAAAGCAGTTGGTTTCGACTACTGAACATTCATACTGTAAACCATAGTAAGAAAAATTTCCTATAATCTATTCCATATTTCTTTATGTGACATCTTTCATTGTGGCAAGCTTTTTTAAGTAATATATACATTCATTTTTTACTTCATCAGGTACTTTTGCACAGGGTCTAACATTGACATGTGTGTAGGCTAGGTGATTCTTTCAACCTATTAACACCATCAGTTATGTGCTTATTTCAGAAATTACATTTCATATAAACATATACCTTTTTCGCACATTCGCCTGACACTTCAACTTGAGTATCAATGTATCATATTTCCATACATGATTTTTTCTTCTTGTGGAACTAGTCATACTAATAATTGATAGAAATAAATAATTAACATTAAATAAAAGGGAAATTTACTTACATACCACTTTATAACATCCTATTTACATATCTAACACCTAAAACTTTAATATTACATCCATACCACCCTATATTATTTTAATATCAAATATACCACTTATATTTCTTTCCTACCACTCATATATTTCATTTCTACCACTCATATTTTGTATGAAAATGAACTATGGGTGGTATTTATGTAATATTAAAGTTTTAGGTGTTAAATATGTAAATAGAATAGTATTAAGTGGTATGTATGTAAAACTCCCTAAATAAAAATACAAATTTAATCATAAATTGATGACATATTTCAAAATTTTTTATATGGGAAAAATTACAAATATCATGTACTAGAATTGATGACATATAAAATATTTTAGATTTATAATTCTATTGTTTTAGAATTTAACGATACATTACTTTATTATTTATTTTTCCTCTTTAGTCTACATGTAGAGATAACAAAAGATGGGTGATGGTGAACGACAAAAGAAAAATCAAAGTTAGATGTATGGAAAGATGTATGAAATTTACATGTGAATATATTACTATATTATGCACAGAAAATATATGAGTAGAATCAAAGTTGTATTTGGCTAAATATATAAATATTCAATTTATTTTTTGAATACATCGTTTGCATAAATTTATATTAAAGAGTTTTTAAAATATTTTTATTTTAAAATCATAACTATAATATATTATAATGTGTTTTAGTAGTTCCGGTCAATGTTTTTATTTTAAAATCATAAATATGATAAATTAAATGATTTTAAACTCGCATTTAAAGATACTATATTTTTTTTACAGAAGTGATTTATAGAAGTTTCATAATCATTATGTGCATGGGAGAATGCAATGTCAAAGTAAAGTGAATTATGCATAACTGTGCAGTAGCTATAAAAACCCAATCAAATTCAATTAAATTATTCAAAATTAATATAAGAAATTGTCCAATCCAATCAAAATTAATATAAAAAAATTATTATAAATTGATAAGTAATTATGTCCAAACCTATAATAACATAAGAATTACCACTAAAATGATTCTGAAGATGAAACATTTTTTTTAAAAAATGGAGAACGATGACCATAAATATTTGAATCAATTATAAACTAAATATAACTGAAATATTTTATCATAATTTGTATTTCATAAAATTCGTATTGATTATGAAAAGCGGGCGAAGATTAACAATGAAAGGGAGTTAGGGAAATAAATTGTTACTTTTGTGGAGAGGTACGTCGTTGAGAAGAAGGTGGATGCTCAAGTCGACAATCAGGCAAAGATGAAGCAAATGATTGGAAGAAAAATCGTTTGAAGAGAAAGCAATTAGGAAATAAATTGTTTCCTTCGTAGAGTGGCACGTTGAAGTCGAAAGAAGGTGGTTGCTGTTAGGGGAAATAACCCCCTTATAGTAGGGTTATTTTCTAAGAAGGTGGTTGATGTTAGGGGAAAGAAGAAGGTGGCTGCTGTCGGAGAATCACGTCGAAGTCGAAAGCAATTAAGAAATAACCTCATCACATTTGAAGATGAAGCAAACGACGAGAATGAGAAGAAAATCAGGCAAATATGAAGAAAATGACAGGAGGAAGAAAGATAGAGGTACAAAACGGGAACGAGAACCTTACCTTCTCCTCTGGTACATCGAACTCGACCAAACTTGGCTGTCAAGTCGGCGGAGTTCGCTTTCTCCTTTCAGTTCTCACATGAAGCAGATACTCTAATCCTATACCCGACCCTTATACGACTCCACTGCGTACTACTCGGTGGTATTTACATATAAACCCAATAAATCGAGGCAATGCCTCGAGGCGTTATACTCTTATGCGTACAACTCTTGCCTTTTTCGCACGCTCCTCCCAACCTTTCAAGGCTTAAGCCTCGACGCGCATGGCTTTCGTCTCGACTTGAGGCGCTCCTCAATGCGGACGCTTCATCAACCTTTTTATTCGATGATCAAGTTCATAATTGACTTAATATTTTATCATTTTTTGTAATTATTTATTATTTTAAATAACTTTAATTTTTTTTGTTTTGAGGCTTACGCTTCTATCCACCTCAAGGCTTACGCCTCGCCTCGCTTTGACAAAACGCCTCGATTCTTGATTTCGGCTTTTAAAACCTTGATTTATAGAAATAAGATTGTGTGAAATATGGAGAACTTGGAAATGTGATATTAGGTGAAGCTTGCAGTTTGGCGTAGGCAGGAGATCTTGTTAGTATGAGCAATTGGAAGCATGTCACCATCGCCAATATGAACTTACGGAGATTCAATTAAGGCCGTAAATGTTGAAGTTAAGTTGCATCAGTTGTCAAATGTGAAGTGGCGTGGAAATCCAATATCCAATAGATTGTGGGCTGAACATTACTAGTAAGGATAGCATGAGGCTTGGATTTGTAGGATAAATCAACATGATGCCAACATTTTAAAGTGGAGTGACTGGGATTATCATAGATTTGGCATTCAACATAAGCTTCTGAGCTTCATCCACCACAGAAGGCTGAACCTACTACGGGGGAAGAATCATGATAGAAACCAATGGACTGCTGTGTCTTTATACATACATACATATATTCATTACTGTTTGGTTGCTTATATTCATTAACTTTGGCTCCCGTTGATTGCCAATGCTTGTAATGCACAACTTTGTAGAAGACTACAAGTTCTACTCAGCACGGCTACTAGTTTTTGGATTTCTTGATGCCTGATTAGACTTTTTTTTTTTTTCATGTTTTGCAGCTTGTTTCTGCAAGAATCTCTTCTTCATGGAAATCAAGGGTCAAAACACTTTACTGTTTTGGTGAAGCAGAATAAAATATTGTCCTAAACTCATATGTGCTTTGATTTTTAGTGGGAAGTAAATTGATGGCCTGTAAGGATTTTGAGTAAACTTATAGCTTGCTATGGCTAGAGGAAGTGGCTCTGGCATGGAATTTCCTGATGCTGAAGACATGGATTGTGATTCATCAACAGCTATTGATTTTGATAGTGCTCGCTCATTCATAGCTTCTGCAACTTCTAGCATCAAAGTTGGTATATCTTCAACCAGCGGTGTGCATGAGCTACTTGAATGCCCTGTCTGTACAAATTCAATGTACCCTCCTATTCATCAGGTCACTTTCTTCCACCTGCATGACTGGCCTAATTTTTCTCCGTGATTTGTATTTGTATTCTCTTGCTGTTCTTCCTCCTAGATTACTTTATGAGGTTGTTGTGCTGTGATGCTATGGATATGTACCATTTTGCTTGCTCAAAGCTGCATCCCTTCCTCATAAATTTGTTGGTTTAGCATATTTATGTGATTGCTTATTATTTAAAACTATATATATTTCATCACACTTCCATTTGAAGTATTATGATTCTGCAATTGCAATGCAAATGCCTACCTTTAGTCACCAATATTGACTTCTATTTGTGTCATATAGTCATGATTAGTCAATTATTTTGCCATTTTCTTATTTACATCTTGTTAATGTTTTAGGGTTAAAAAAATCATATATCATTTTAGGCATCTTTTCATTATTTTAATGTTATTAAGGTTATATTGTCGAACAAAGTTATAGATATCATTATCATCCTTAGGTTATAACTGAAAATGGTTGATTAAGGAATAAATATATGACCTTTCTTTGCCATCCTCTTTAGGGATTGATTCCTCCCTTTTTCTCAACACCATGAGGTTCTTTCTTTCTTTATATTGTCCTTTCTCTCTTGAAACGTTCATTCATCTCTTCTTCTCAATATCTTCTTACTCTTGATCTCCCCAATTCTTTCTCTACACATTTTGAGTTCTTCATATCGAATTCTTCCATTCTTAATAATCAAGATGTTGAAAGTTCACCATGATCTTTACATTCACTTCCCGTTTGTATTAGAGCTAAAGCATCCAAATTCAAAGAGATATTTGTGCATTCTAATTTTTGTGGTTTCAAGAGATCATGACATTGCCATTTTTTATTTCTCATCAATTTCTTTAGAAGAATTAATACAAAAGTTACCTCTTGAAGAAAGAATTCTTATTGGAGGGGATTTAAATGAACATGTTGGTAGAGAGGTAGATGGTTTTAAAAGCATTCATGGTGGCTATGAGTTTGGAATGACAAATGAAGGTGGCAAGACCATATTAGATTTTTGTTTAGCTTATAATTTTTAAATTGTTAATACCTTATTTAAGAAAAGAAATGAGCATCTCATCACTTATAAAAATGGATATAGTACAACTCAGATTGATTATTTTCTTATAAGAAAATTAGATCGTTTAGATAATAAAGATTGTAAAGTTATTCCGAGTGAAAATTTATGTACCCAACATCGATTATTAGTTTTGGACTTTAAGATAAATGGACAAAAAATAAAAAATAAAGTAAAACGATATTCTAGGATTAGATGAGTACATTTAAAGAATATTAATAAAAATATTTTTGAGAGTAAGATTTTAGATCTTAAGATTTTGTCTGTACATGAGGATGCTAATATTATGTGGGAAAAAGTGGCTAGTGATATTAAAAATATTGCAAAAGATGTGCTTGGAGTATCAAAGGGAAAAGCTCCTAATAGTAAAAATAGTTGGTGGTGAAATCCTAATGATCAAGAAAAAATTAAAAATAAGAAGCTTTGTTATAAAAAATGGTTTAATTTTAAAAATTATGATAATTGGGAAATATATAAAGTGGCACGTAAGGATGCTAAGAAAGCAATATGCGATGCAAAGACATTAGCTTTTAGCGATTTATATAATAGATTAAATACTAAGGAGGGAGAAAGATATATGTATAAGTTAGCCAAACAAAGAGATAGGAGTAGTAAGGATTTAGTTCAAGTGAAGTGTATTAAAGATGAAGATCAAAAAATACTTTTCTTAGAAGATGATATTCAACAAAGATGGATGAGATATTTTGCTAACCTTTTTAATGAATATATTGGATCTATTGTTCAGAGTGATGGTGAAATAGATGGAGATATTATCAGCAGAGTTCAAGTTGGATGGTTGAAGTGGAGGAATGCATTGGGCTTGTTGTGTGATAGAAAATTACCTCTCAAACTCAAGGGAAAATTCTATAAGATGGTGGTGAGGCCTGCAATGCTTTATGGTGTCGAATGTAGGCCATTAAAAGAGAAGCATAATACTAAGTTAAGTGTGACAGAGATGAGGATGCTCAGGTGGATGCGTGGCTTTACCCTTAGAGATATGATACGAAATGAACATATATGTGAAAAGGTTTGAGTAGCTTTCAATAGAAGATAAGATTAGAGAGAGTCACCTTAAATGGTTTGGTCACATAAAACGGCGGCCTTCTGATGACTCGGTTAGGAGAGTAGAGGTATTAGATTTGACTTATGTTCAGAAAGGTAGAGGCAGACCTAAAAAGACTTGGTTAGAAAATATTAGGAATGACCTTTCTTTATTAGATTTAAATGAGAATTTGACTTTTAATATGACACAATGGAGAAAAAGGATTCATGTAGCTGACCCCACGTAGTGGGATAAATGCTTGATGTTGTTGTTGTTGTAATCTCTTTGGTCTCTCAACCATATTCCTCTACACAAATTTGAATTCCATAGAGCCAAACACATCCGCAGAACATTTCCCTTCATTAATCTAATTTAGATTGCAAAATCTTACACTTTTAGGAGTTATGCTTTTTTTGGTATTAATTTAATTATTGTTTTTGACATTTTTCAGCATTATTGCTTGCATAGCCTTCTTCCTTGACCTCCAATATTGACATCCCCCTTCCACAATTCCGTTTGGTTAATTGTAAGATACTGAAAAAAAAAGAAGTTAAATGTGAAATGTTTAGAACAGTTTAAATTTCAAAGAAAAACATTGAAGTTTGAATTTGATGAGTTAAAAAAAAAAGAAATTTCAATTCCAATTTGAATTTGAATTCAAACAAATTGAATTCGAAACACTATCCTATCAATTCAAATTTTACTTTTCTTAAGCAACTTTATATCCATATTCTCCACAACATAAAGCAACGGGCTTTGGCTCAGGTAGTATACTCCCTAGTTTGATGGCATTGGTGTCAGTTTCGAGATTTAATGGCTTGATTATTGTGTGTAGTTAGCCTTATTCTTAAAAAAAATCTTGAACTAGGTTTGTACCCGCCTCATCATTTATAAAATAGATGGGATAGGTTTATATACTTTAAAAGAGATATTCTCTACAATATCCTTCATAATAACCTCCACAATTCTTTCAAAAATACCCTCCATGATGTCCTTCGCAATTCATATGCCAAAATCACCATGTATGTCTTTCATTTGAGATTCAAATTTAATTGTGAATTTTAAAATTTCATCCAAAACTTGAATTCAATTTACATCTCACACTTTACCTTCTCCAATCACCTTAACTCAGTAAACTTGGTTAGCTTCTCTAAACTTAATCTAATTTAATATATATTTCCAAACTCAAGTTCTACCTAAAAACACAATTGACCTAGTTTGGTTTAGCTTAACTCGATGGACCAACACAATTAGACTAATTCTGCCCAACCTTAAATCAAAATGAATAAAAGTCAACCTTTTTAAGTTAGTTATGCAAAATAAGAGAATGAATTTAGATTAACCTATTATTGTGTATAAATACATTAAGTATTCTATTGTTATCTTAGGGTCTGTTTGGGACAACTTCTTTCGTTGCTTTGTTTCTGATACATTAATCATAATTTCATTCATTTGGCTCTTGTTTTTTTTTTGCTTTTTCATTATTTTTTTAGAAATTTATGTGGTGGAAATTTTTTTTTTGTAACAAGAGTAGCTAAGCTATTTTTCCCATAGTAACTTCACAACTAGCTTTATAAAAACTACAACCATCCCAAAGAGATCCTTAGTGATGATTGTGATAGGAAATACTTGAGTTCGCAAGTAACCCTAAGGTAATACTTGAGTTCGCAAGCAATCCTAACCGAAATCGATATGCAAACCGCAGTGAAACGGCTGTTTGTAGCAGGAAAAACAGCAAAAACCTGCTGTCTAGAGCAGGAAATCAGCACAAACCAAGGAAAACCGTGAGAAGAATCGATGCAAGACTTGTATTCCACTAGAAGATGCAACAAAATAGAAAAGATACAATTGATCCTCAATTCAAGAGGAGGATCGATCTCTCCCAAATCTTTAGACGCCGCTAGAGCCCAAAGAAAACCTAAATCTAAGAGATCTCAAATTTCTGCCAAATTCAAGATACTCAAATCCTAGGAAAACCAACTATTTAATGCATATAAAACAAAAGGAATTCCCTAAACAATCCCTACATTCAAATTTCTCTCTTAAACCCCCCAAAAATCCTTCCTAAAACGCTCTGTTTGAGCGGTCGGCCCGCCCGATCTCCGCAGGAGGCGGAGATCCTACCTGTTCGTGAATTGCCGGTCCCGTGCGGACAGGTCTAACAGATTGATGATGTAGTTGTTCTTCCTTTTCACCTTTTTTCTTTTTTGAATTGGATCCCTTTTTTATTTATTATTATTATTATTATTATTTTGAATTGGATTCCTCATTCATCACCTTTACATTTATATGATTTTTTTTCATCTCTTCTTTCTTTGATGGATTTCACATATTATGATTTTTCTAGCTCAGCAGTAAACTTGAGAGTATTTCTAGTTCTCCCTTCTACAACATTTCGAATTCTAAAGTTATTCTTGCAACCAAGGGGAACTATTTAGTGCAAAATACTTTGATTTATTAATATTATTTTAAATTTTGTCAGTAGTTATGTTAGTAAGTTATTTGATATTCTCTGGCCTTCTTAATATTTTTGTCTTTTGCCAGTAGTAAAATAATCATTTGTTATTTTGGAGATGCTCTACACTTTTTTTTTATTAGGGTTATTTTTATGTTTTAAACGGTGGTCTTTCGATGACTCGGTTAGGAAAGTAGATGTATTAGATTTGACTAATAATGGTAGAGGTAGACCTAAAAAGATTTGGTTAGAAAATATTAGAAATAACATTTTTGTATTAGATTTAAATGAGAATTTAACTTTTAACATGGCACAATGGAGAAAAAGGATTCATGTAGCGGACCCCACATGGTGGGATAAAGGTTTGATGTTGTTATTTTAGGGTTAAATTTTCGAGAAAATTGGTTACTATAGGAAATGGTTGG